TCTCAGCTTCAACCATTCCAGCGTCAATCTAGCCCGTATGCATTGTCTTCCTCTCAGCGATCCATCACTCAACATCATGCACATCATGTACTCAGGGTGTGCTTAGTTCCTGAAAAAAGTTAAAAGTTTAAAGAAAGTTAAGAGCTTAAAAAAAGTTAAAAATTTATATGTGTAGGAAAGTTTTTAATGTGATATGATATGATGGAAAGTTGGGAATAGAGGGAAACTAAACATGGCCTCAAGGAGGTGGATCTAGCGTGGATGCTGGGGGAACTCAAGTCCCCTTATCCTACTGAGGGGGTGGATCTAGCGTAGGTGTTGAGGGAACTCAAGTCCCCCTATCCCACTGATCACTTTTGATAGAAGGAGAGAAGGAAAGAGAAAGGAGAGGGGAAGATGGAACAATATGGAGGTTGAATGTGGGAGAAGAAAATGAGTCTTCTCTTTAATCCCATTCTGGGATCTGTCCCTGTATGTACTGGACACGCACACCATAAATCGGCACGACGGATACAGAGAAAATCTAGTATCGCACAATGCCTGCTAGTAATAGATCATTTCTCCACCGAGTCACTCATCTCCTAAAACGTGTGCATTGCCGACAGCCCAGGAAAGGGGCACTGGGCACAATGTACACGCCAGCAAGTACCAGCAAGGCAGAAAGCTACCCTGTGCTGCAAGCAAAAACAACATATGAGATGGAGTAAAGTTCTGTTCGAGCATCAGCATATTGTATCCAATCATCCATGGTTGAGCTCACGACTACTCCCTCCGTCTCAAAAAAAAAGACAAACACTGTATCCAACTTTAACTATCCGTTTTATATGAATTTTTTTTATAATTTATATTTTCATTGTTGTTAGATGATAAAATATGATTAATATTTTATAAGTGACTTGTCTTTTTAATTTTTTTTATAATTTTTTCAAATAAGACGGACGGTTAAACGTTGGACACGGAAATCAAGATTTGTTTTTTTATACGGACGGAGTACATGACTGCATGAGGATCGAGGAACAAGATTCTACAGTGACCAGCAGGTCCCTGCCATAGCCGGAGCGATCATAATATGTTCGAGAGTTTAGACTAACCGTCCCGTGCGCCCGCAGAGCTCGCGTCCCTACTGCTGCCATGCACGCACGCACGCAGAGCGGCTCTCCAACCGGGCTACCTGTCCTGACCTGCATCTACGCTACTCTGTGTCACGCTGCATGCAGCCATCGAGTGCAAAAGGCCACTTGGAATTGAACTTGAGTATGATTGAGCCGAGAGAACAGGCGCAAGACCGGATGACCAACCCATCCCAATCCAACCGCCGGAACAAGATGACAAGCGCGCAAATCATGTTCGGAATTGGGTCGTTTACTCGTTTCGTGCGGTCCTTGGCCCCGTCCATCCGAACTGCCGCGCAGCGCCGGCCTCCCTCCTTTCCCCCCGAAAAGCCACGGTCCCCTGCACCTCCCCCTGCACCTCCCCCCGCACAGCTGCACCGCGCCCGGCAATTTCACTGTTTCACCGGGCGAGAGGACGGCACACGGCACATTTGCCGGGGTTGACGGGTGGATTGATCGGCGATGACCGACGATGAGTCGAGACGAGTTGCATTGAAGCGGTGGGAGGTGACAGGTGAGGCGAGGTGAAGCCGCGCTGTGCCTGTGCCTGTGCGTGCGCAACAGTGGCGCGCAGATGTGGTGGTCCCTGTCACGCTTTGGGTTTGGAGTTTGGACCCCCACACATTGCGGGGGCCGGGGAGGGGAGGCGCCCGAGACCCCGAGTGTGGTGTGGTGCACGACTCGGCGTCGCATGCTGCGCCGTGTGGCCGATCCCCGGGTGTAGCGGAAGCGCGTTGGTTGATGAATCTGACGGTCATTACAACACTGCATCTGTTACTCTGATCGTGCAATCCCGTTTTTGGTGCCTGGTGCCGCTCCGGAAGCGAGAATTTTTCGTGCCTCTCGCGGAAATTGAATAGTTTGTTGTGAAAGAAAAGACATTACGATGTTTAGGGAGGTTAATAGGCACTACATTGACCTGATATGTTTAGGGAGGTTAATAGGCACTACATTGACCTGATAGCTTACTCCTACGTTTTGTTCAGAGAGGTAAACAAGCGATTTCAAAAGCACTTGTCGAACTGTTACCATCAACCTCTTGTGCTGCTGCTGTTGTTTGCTGCTCCTGCTGCTGACTCGCGTTCAGAGGAGGACGGACAGCTTGTCCGGTTACTTACCTCCGGTGCACCCCCTCATATCAGCATCAGGCCAGTTGTGCAGAGCGAGAGCTTTAAAAGAATAAGCACAAGTGTTGGTCAGTACATAACCCCCTGGCTTAAGAAAAGTCAGCAGCAATAGGAAGGCAACTTTAACCCCTACGGACCCCAGCTTTGGTGTCCTGCAGGCTGCAGCAGCCAGCAGGGCAGCGAGGAGAGGTTGATCCGTTGATGCAAATGCAGTACTAGTAGTACACATGCAAACAAGGTGCAAAAGCATTGGCAGGGAAAGGTACATGGCAGCATAAACAAATACAGTACGGGCTACACGAGAGACTTGCCATCGCTTGCGTCGATCGCTTAAGAAAAGGGAGCTGTCAGTCTCATGATCGGATAGCACGTTCTCATGCAGTTTGTTTAGTGTCGTAGCTTAAAGAAATTCGTAAGCAGACATGGAACTAACTCATCCATCAGGCCATCACACCTGTAACACTTTTTCAAATCCAAGATTTGTTTGCAAGCTTCAAGAGAAACAACCGGCTTCTGAGTTGTTTAAGCTGGCGCTCAAAGCGTTCCCTTTTTTTTTTCTAAGCAGAAAGGGGCCAATCAAGGGACAGGAGATCATGAAGGCAAAGAATGCCCAAATAGGGCTTTGCAGCACGCTGGAGGGGGACACAGGCCAAGTGAGAGGTCAAGGGATTAAATAAGCCCTGGAAATAAAGGACCGTTGTACTGTGTCTGTCCACCATTGATCAATTTTACTAATCAACAACTGGCCTCTGTACTTACGTTGCAAATGAAAAGCATGGATATGGATGAACACTGAGGGACCACACGCAATGGGTGGTGGGGGTGGTCGACGGGCGACCGGTGGCCGTGCATCAGCCACTCGATCTCCGATGTTCGGTTGCGGTGCCACTGTCCCAAATGGTCCACAAGTCAGGTCTGTAGATTTGCAAATAGTATAGCAGACACTACAGCTGAACGAGCACGATTAATAAGGAAACAGCACGAGTGGGGCATGCATAGCACATGAGATGGGTCAGAAGTACATTTGGTGCATATGAAACGGATGAGAGCAAACAACATCAAGTCTCTATTGCGCGGGTGACGAGCAATTTTAAAGGTGATTACCAGCTGTGCCTACACGCAGCGATGATGAAATTTGGGTAATCGATGACAAGGCAAAAACACTTTACTACTATGTACTATTCCCTCCGTCCCATAATATAAGGAATTTTGAGTTTTTACTTGCAACGTTTGACCACTCGTCTTATTTAAAAAAAATTAGAATTATTATTTATTTTATTTGTGACTTACTTTATTATCTACCGTATTTTAAGTACAACTTTTCGCTTTTTATATTTGCAAAAAAAATTTAAATAAGACGAGTAGTCAAACGTGGCAAACAAAAACAAATTACTTATATCGTGGGACGGAGAGATTAGTACTCTAGTAGGACAGGAAGAGTACTAAATACTGTAGTAGTACTAATAGATTTGTGTTCTGAGCAAAAGCAGAATACAGTAACCATATGCAACCAAGGAAATTCGCACGTTGCTTTCGACATTAGTCTGAGCTGTGTAGTAATGGTAGCTGAATGAAAAGTCTGAGCTGCTGTGCAATTCTGCTGCTCTCTAGTGTGACTGTGAGGACATGTTTAGAGCTATATTTTTTCAAAAGCAAACTATAGAGATAATCCAGATGGCCGTTTTTATCTCCAAGGTTTCGGATGAACAAAAAGAAACAGCCAGGAATTTCAAACTACACTGGCAAAAGCACAGATGAATCACAAAAATCGCCAATTTTGAGCTATTCAAGACCAAAATACAAATCCCTATATACAATTAGCAGAACACAAATATGTGCATCGTCTGCATTTGCAAACTCTGAGGAATATGAAGTCTATGAAGTATTAGTGAGTATAGGCCTTAAAAACATAAAAGTATAACATAATCTTTTTTTTTTGCGAGGAAAAGTATAACATAATCTCCGCCGTAGAATCAGTGTATACATCGATTCCTTGTCCTCCAATTGCAGGCAACTATTCTTGAATCTTCAACAAAAGCTAGCAAGTATAAAAGGACCAAAATAAAATCTGATTCTATCCGATTCACCTCTTCTTGTCACAACTACTTATCATCCATGCCCTCCTTTTATTTTCAGTAGTATAAACCATTCAAACATACACTTCACTGATTAGAACTTAAAACAAATTAATTCATCATGCTATATATTACTAATGTTGCATACCTCAGATGTACACAGGAATTTTCCAATTTGGTCTATTGTACACAGGAATTGCTAATGCTGCAAACCTCAGATGTTTAGCAGAACAAACTAACCATTGCACCCATCCCTGGACACCCTAACCATTCTTTGTTTCCACTAAACAGAAAACCTTTACACCGGCGTGCATTTTGTTTCAAAATCATGGCATATACCTTTTTTTCAGCAAAATCGTCTAGTGTGACAATAATCAATAATATCCCAAGCTATATTATTTGTGTAAAACAATAAAATTTGCTATTGTAATATTCAGTTATGGTTATTCCAGCATGTAAGTGTAATGCATATTTGAGTTTAGACAGATCCATACATCAAATTAGCAATCATTGGATCAAGCAATTTGATAATGCACTCCGTTTGGATATTATGACAGCCTAGCCCCTCCTACTATTAAAATGACAGGCTAAGCTATGCAATGCCTCGTGCGTGTAGATATCAGAGGCTGAGTGAATCAACAACTAATCTACCAAACATCACCAAAAGAACTAAAAACAGCACCGTATACACACTAATGCTTGTCATAAGGACATTCAACATGCCAAATTATCTTATCTATTCACAACGAAATGTTTCCAAGAACATGAAGTGGCCAATTGAGCGGAGAGCAACAACATAGTGGTAAGACCCTAGAGGCCATAGCCACTGGTCACACACTACAGAGACACTCATACCAAGATTGCCAAATCCATTAGGCCTACCTAATAAACAACAGAGTGTGCAACAACCATGATAATAATTTCTTTGCAATGTTTAAATTGCAAGACAAAATTCATATTACTGGAGTTAAACATGCCTGCAAATGGTGTAGGAATCATGATGGTCGAGGCAGGTGTGATCAGCATCGCCATGCTGAGACGGATACAAGCTCGCCACGCTGCCAATAGAGTGCAAGGCCTGCTCCACGCTTCTCCACATGGAAGCCTCGGACCTGCACCCGCTTCAAGAGGCAGTCAGCCTGTGCCTCCGCAAGGTTGCTGAGTGGTTGAGGTGCAAACCCTGCTGATGTTAGCACTGTCCGCCAAGCGATCGCTTTGTCAGCTCTACGCCGCCCAAGAACTGCATCCTCCACTCTGGGCTGAATCAGAAACCTCTCGATCTTACTGACAGCATCCGCATCAGTGCCAGCAGCATCAAGTGATTCAAGAAGACATAGACAAGACTGTAAGCAATTCAAGAAGTGTTGGGAAAATGGGAGGTCGCTCCGATCACTGCCATAGTCAATAGCAACCACAATCTTAGGAGCAAGCTGTTTCACCAACTGAAGCATAGCTGGGAGTGGAGTGCGTGCTGAGCAACCAACTGGGAGGCTTACTGCAACAACCTCATCAGCTGTAGGAGCAATGAGTTCCATAGGATCAAATGCGTCGAGATTAATAGCATTGAACTCAAATGGAATACCAAGATCAGCAGCAAACTGTGAGAGGTTATCCTGAGTAAGATGCAGCTCAAGCGGGTGGTGGGAGGCGGCTGAGACGAAGGCTGTGAGCTTCAACATCGGCAAGGACACACCGCCAGAGCCACAGCGGTGAGCAAGCTCCTGCAAGAACGAAGCCCACTGGCCGCCGACACCGAGGTCGAAATCAATGACGCGGATACAAGACGCGGTTGTGCTGGCGATCTCATCCAGAAGCGCCTGAGTTACCGTGAAGTTGGCAAACTGGAGCACGGGGGAGAGGTCGGAGAAGGATTTGTAAGCGGTGAGCTTCAGGGCGACGTCGAGCGGAGACGTGAGACGGGTGGCGGCGTGGTGGCCGTCGGCGAGCGCGAGGAGGAGGGCGTCCTTTAGGTAGGAGGCGGAGCGGAGGAAAGGCTTCCCAATTGGGGGAAGCTGCTGATTGAGCCGCGCCAATATCTCTCGCGCGCCTATGGAGTTGCCGACTTCGGTTGCCTTCGCCGCCGCTGCAAGCTCGTCCAGGAGGTGTTGCTGCTGCGCCGCCGCCGCCGCCGCGGTTGACTTCATCGCGTTGCGCGGATGCTGCATCGAAGGCTGGAGCTGGAAGGGTACCGCGCTATGTAGCGTTGGAAACGGGAGGCATTGCGCGGGCGCCGGCGGCGGTGGCTGGGGCTGGTTGTGGAGGAGGAAGAGATTGTCGGGCACGGAGTGGTGGCGCTTCGGCGGTGGCTGGAGCAGTGGCTGTTGTTGATGGTCGGAGAAGGAGGGGAACGGCATGAACAAGGTGGAGGCCGGCGTCGGCTGATGCTGGTTGAGGAGTAGTGTGGGTGATGGCAAGCCAAGGAGAGGGGGCTTCATGTCAGCGCCGTTGTGGAAAGGCGCAGTAGTCGCCGGCGGCGGCTGGAGCGCCGCTTCGGGCGACAGGAGGCCGAAAGCGGAGGTGGCCTTGCTATTGCTGCCGCTGCTGCTTGTGAGCGACCTCCCGCCGGAGGACGACAGGTCGGAGGCGAGGGCGGCTGGCGAGGAGACGCCACCGGGGTGATGCTGCAGCGGGAACCCGAACCCGGCGGCATTGGCGAGGAGCTGCTGCTGCGAGAGCCCCGGCGCCTGGGGTTCCATGTCGCCGGGGGCAGCCATGATCCAGTTCAAAAATGTCTGCTCCTGGCCTGCCGCCGCCGCGGCGTCGCCGAGCATGGCGTCCCAGCTCTCCTCCGCGACGAAGCCCACATCCAGGGCCCCCGGTATGGGCGGCAGCTCACCGCCACCGCCGCCGCCGTGTTCGCCGGGGGCCGCCCATCTGGTGGCTTCGGCGGCGGCTGCGCTGCTCTCCGAAACCGCCGCCACGCCGGTAGATATAGAATCCGCCGCGCCGCTACCATGGGACGAAGACAGCGTCGATGTGGAGTTGGGCGGGCTCGGGCTCCCCCTGCAGTCCAGCACCGACCTCGGCTCCACCAGCAACGACCCCCCGCCGCCCCCGCCGCCGCCGCCCTTGTCCTCCGGCCAAAGCAGCGCCGCTATGCTCCCCGCGAGCTCCGCCGCCCCGTTCCCGTCGGCACTGAAGGGTGCCGCCCTCATCTACCAACCTACTCGCGCATGCTCCCGCCGCGCGCCGCCGCCCGCCGCCCGCCCCCCTCTCGATCGGCGCGAGAGAGATATGGAGGGAAGGGGATCAAGAAAAACAATAAAACAGATGAGGCCGCTTGCTTGTGTGCGTGGGTGTGGACTGTGGAACAGCGAAGATGGAGAGAAGAAAGCCTTGTGCGCTCTCGGTCTCGTCCTCTTGCCCGTGCGGCCGTGCTACTACCAGTATAGTTATGGGTTGCCGTGGTGGGTGCCTGCCTTGGATTTCTCTCTCTCTCTAACGGTGCCATGGTCCATAGGAGTAGGAGTAGATGCGTGCAACATAAAAAAGGTTGGAAAGTGTACTCCCCTCTCCCTATCTCTCTTTCCCCATCTCTGCCTATAGCTTTTGTTTTTCTTCTCTTTGGTTTCTCATCGTTATTATTACTCCCTGATACCTTATCTGGGTTTTATTTTTTTGCCCCCGCGAGCTTGAATTGTGGACCTCGAACGTGTCGATTGGCCCAGCTAGCTTTGACGGTTACTAGTTCGTTTCCTCTCAGTTGCAAGTGGAGCAGTACGAGTACCTCTGTTTAGATTTTACTCCTACATAAGGTGTAGATGGATCATAACAGGAGCTGAAACGAACTTTCGGTTTCGGATTGGAGGCAAACTTTCTCGTTGGTAATCTCCCCTATACACTGTAGTTGTTCTCGCGTCCGACGCCATGAATCGCCGTCAATGCATACTCCGTAAGTCCGTATGGTGTAGAGAGGTATGTCCACTACACACTACCGGGCTGTATTTGGACACGGCCCGCGTCTTCCAGTCCCAACCGCCGAGCCTACGTAATTGCCGGCCCAACTGACATGCTGCGCTCAACTTCCACATTTTCCCGGCCCTTCTTTGGGCCAACTCGCAAACCGCCCCTGCGCGGCATGGAACGCAGCGAATGCTCACGCAGTCACGCCGTCATGCGTCGGCGTTGGAGTAACAGCGACGCCAAGCGGGCACGCACCGCCGGCTAGCCGCTAAACCAGGTTTTGAAAATAAATTATTGATGAGTTTATTTTAAAAGTTAAAAATGCTTAAAAATTATTTTAAAAATCCACATTCTGCTCCTGCCTTTGCTCGACGATGGTTTTGAGCAAACAGTTTTTTGTTAGATTTCTCTCTGTCTCAAAAAGAATCAAACTCTAAAGATAAATTTAGATTTGTTTTTTTTTGAAATAGAGAGAACTAAAGAACGGTATTACTATATCTTTGAAATGGTATAGCCATGATATCTACTCCATATAATATCATTCTCTAGATTCTCTATTAATAGTATTTCTAGACGATATGATTAGTCTCTTCCTTTATCTTTGGTTTTTCTCTCTTCCCTAAGTCTCTTCCTTTATCCTTTGTTTTTCTCTCTTTTCTGCTATAAATCGGTCTGACTGATTTGCATTGTGTAAATAAATACTCTTTTCTTCTAATACACTATTCACGTATTATTATTTTACGTGTTCGTTAAAAAAATAGTAGGTGCAAGTGTAACCTGATGATAATGTAGCTGTAGCCCTGCGTCTGCATGCGAGCCTGCTAAGGATTGTGGTGATAGTGTGGTGACACGGCCACAAGGACGTTTCTTCATTGCTTGCACATGAATCTGGCCTATCTTCTGTCTCAATAGCCACTTTGCTAGGGAAAATCAGTCAAGGTCGCAAAGGACGCTGGTAAACTTTTTTTCCTTTCAATGCCCTGTCGTGTTGACACTTGACACAATGAAAACCCTCCAGGACGAGTTGCCACGGGGGTAGGCGAGAGCTGCAGCACAAGGACCGTGCGCAAATGTATGCATATGAGATGTGATATGATATGACCTGACCAAACTCCTGGTCCTGCTTTACTGGGACAACATCTACAGCACCGTAATAAGTTCTCATTGCTCCAACGCAGACAGTACTGGGATATCAGATTGGACCAAAGAACAGTAGGCACAAGGTCTTCCACAAATTCAACCGCTGTCACGGTGTCACCTACCACAACTTGCAATATTCAGACCAAATCACCAAAGTTTTTTTTTCCTACTTTACACAGGGACGAGGATGATTTTTTTTTTTCAAATTGTTTGATGATCTGACGTTGCTTGGCTGTTTTTTCAGGTTTTATCTCTCCGGGGAATCTCCTTATCATCCTTGTCATCAAATAATGTGGGAGGTTGAAATTAGTTCGAATGTTACATTTCATTCCAATGCCAATCTGCCTAACAGCCCCAAAGCTGATGCATCTGCCCACTTACTTCGGAGCAGTGGAGCACGCAATTACACAAAGCTGCGTTCTGGATTCCAAATGATTACTTCCTCTTTATCCATGATCATGTTTTTCAAACTATTACGTCCCATGTAAAACCTGTTTGTATGAAAGTTTTCGTAAAAAAATATATTTTTTTCAAATTCATAATAATTAATCCTATATTATTTTTACTTATAGCTTATCTTGTTTCACGCGCAACAGAAAAGACGAGGAAGAGCAGCATAATCTAAGGTGACTAGTTTTCACTTTTCAGAAAACCGTAGAATCTCTCACACAACGGTTGGTACCAATTAGGGAAGGACGTAATATCAAATAAATATAAGGGGTGAGACTTCGAACTTAGACAGGCTAGCTCACCACCTTGTAGAGCTAACCAAAATACCTCTGGGCATTTTTCATTGCAGACTAGAAGAAACCATGGACATTGAAATGGTCAGATCTTAGGAGGATTACGTAGAAACTAAATTTCTGAATTAAAATAGGAACCATAAAACATTCTGCATTTATGCAGTCGTGCATAAATAAGCAGAGACGCGAAAGGGCACATAGTCAAGTAAGTAATTGTAGTGACTTGAGTAGCACTACAAGGTTCTTAATTCAAATATTCATAGAAGCAAATTTCAGATTGAATTATTTAGGGGACTAACTTCCTAATTTAAAAACGTTGCATATATCCGATTTGATGTAAAGACTGAATAAAAAATATCCTTCTCTAAAAATAAATGTAAAGAATAAATAAATGAGCAGAGACGAGAAAATTTCCCGATCACCTTCGCAACAGGCCGTGAAGAAGACAATCTTAATTGGCAAACCGAGACGAGACTACAGCCTGGTCTAGGAATAAGTTCATTTTGACTCTTTTAACTAGTGACCGAATTTGATGCGTATCCTGAACCACAGTACCGGATATCTCGACCCCCAACTATTTAAACCGGTGCAATTTAAATTTCTTGGTGGTTTTGGAGGGCGGTTTCGCTGACATGACGCATACGCGACGGTGTTGACCTGATCTTTATCCTACATGGCATTGACATGACGTTTATGTGGCACTAGAATTAACAAATATACGTGGGACTCATTGTCATTTACACAAAAAAAAATATTTGTGGACCCCACATGTCATCATCTCTCCGCTTTCCCTTCCCCTTCTTCCTCCTCCCTCTCTCTCTCCCTTATCTATTTCTCTTTCTCTCCCCTTTTTCCAACTTCGGCCGGCCGCGGGGAGTGGGGCTGGAGCAACGGTGACATCAGCGGGCGAGGTCGGCCGGGTGTGCAAGGTTGGGAGTGGCAGGGGCGGTGGGCGGGGGCGCAAGGTTGGGAGGAGCTCCCTACCCAGCGGGAGGCTACCGGCCTCCGGTTGAGGCGGAGGATAAATGGGTGAATGACAAATGGATCCCACATATATGTTTTCACCTAAGCACCACATCAATGCTGCAGACTGATCAACAGTGCTACGTAGACGCCACGTTAGTAAAATCGCCATCCAAAACCGCTAAAGGAGTCTAATTACATCGTTTTAATAGTTGGAATGTAGATATCCGGTATTGCGGTTTAAGGATACGAATTACATTCAGTCACTACTTAAGGGAGTCAATGTGAACTTATTCCGCCTGGTCTAACCCATTTTCTGGGCCTCTCCTGAAACTTAGCCTATCCAACAATTTCTACCCCCTACGGCCCTACCGGCCCATCGAGTTCCTCACGTAACAAACCGATCCAAGTATATCGATCTGCAGATACGCGTGCATGGTACGCATAAGGTGGGTATACTATACATTCGCGTAGCCGGTAGCAATGGGCACCCGTACGTATGTACGCCCGCCGTGGGGACAACGGAGACGGGGGGAAACGGGGCGCGCGCTCCGCTGCGGCAGCTTTATCCGACATCTCTCACGATCACCACTCCGCCATACAAAAAAAAACCTCCCTTGCCAAACGCAAATCCCCACGGCAACTCGTCGTTTTTCACCTCCACGGATCGCATGGCATTGCGCCCCAGGCGAAGTGGTGGTACTACCAGTCTACCACACAATCACTAGTGTGTGGTATAAACTGGTAGTACGTGCTCCTCTGCTCCGATTCTTTCACGCACCGATTCCCACTCGTTTACTGTGTGTGGGATGCTCGTACAAAAAATGTAGCATAAGCATAACGCCAGTATGGAGTATGCAGCATTTCAGTTCAAACTTGCATCCGTGATAGTGGACTAACTGAAGATTAGTTTCTGAAGGAAGGAAACATGGATCAGCGTTGATGTGTTCAGCGGCTCATGTAATTAACCGAGGGGGTAATTGAATTTGAAACGATACTCAATCCGCGTGACGACGCTTCCTACTTAAGTATTCCAGTACTTCCAGAACAGATGGCGGTAAAAGTGATCCAACTTTTCAGCTATCATTAGCGGGCTGGATTTACATTTGCTTAATGTCTTGGCCTTCAGATCGTGCACTAATCCCCACTTAACCAAAGAGAAAATCACAGCTCTTGTCCAGTTCTGGGACACAGTACATTTAGGTCTTCTCGGCCTTCTCACCGCTCCTATACAAAAAAACAAAGACAATGTACATAGCACATAGCTAACTGTGTCATAGAACTTGGGAAACAAATACTACTACTGTACTATGAACAGCTTTTAAGAAACCATCGGGCTTAACCCATGCAACTTTCTGCCCTTGTATATATTCCCAACGGCAACCCCTCCGTGTGGCCCTTCTCTCTGTTTCCCTCCTTGCACGCTTGCTGCTCGATCCTTGGCTCATTACACTGCCATCAAGATCACCTCATGTCTCCCTTCATATCCATTTCTTCTTGCTGATCATTATCACTACTCGTGTGCCTAGCTAGTGCCTTGCCATGTCTTGCTTGACCTCTCCTCAGCTGGCTCCCAAGATGCAGCTTAAGCTCACTGCCGCTGTCGCCGCTCTCCTCGTCGTCGTCTTCTTTGCGCTCTTCGTCGGCTCATGCGAGGCGCGCCGCCTTCGTGCCCTTGGCAGGGTCAGCTCGCTAAAACCATCGTCGTCACCTCCTACGCCGTACAAGGTTGGTGCAGTTGAAGGAATAACTTGGTATATATCGGAATATAAAGTGTTCCTTTTTTTTGGCTGTTCTAATTTTTCCATGCTTCTCCCTTGTGCAGGATGCGGCAAGCATGAAGCTTCATGGTTCTGATCCAACGAACCAGAAGAAGGATTTATCAAGTACTAGTATGGATCATCACATGGCTAGCGGGGACGATGCGAAGGCGAAGGACGGAGTGGCAATGGCATCACCAGGTGCAGTTCAGACTACGATTGTCGTTAGGGTTTCGAACCGGCTCTCTCATCAGGAGCGAAGGGTGGACACAGCGTTTCATCTGGACTACGCTGGCCCTAGAACCCATCCCCCCTCTCACAACTGATGAGTATGTCGTTCTGTGGCATTCTCTGACTCTGTCTGATGATCTTAATTACTAATATGCAACTTAAGTGATTTATGTATATGAGTGTTCAATCTCTAATTCTGGTGCATATTCTTGCTTGTTTGCTCTTATATATGCTCAATTTGCTAATAAATTAATATTATCGGTATAAATAGATCGTAGAATGTGTAGTTTTGTAGAAAGCTCGCCGGCTAGATATTTTGCTTGCTTGAAATATGAATTGAAGTTCACACACATGTTTATACATGTAAGTTTGATAGCCGTGTGAGAACTATATGTTGACATCTATATGTTGACTATATACAAAACTTGATAGAAACATGAATCGTAAATATGCATTCTACACGTCGATAAGATAAGATAACTTTATGTGCCAACTACTCAAGTAAGTAATAACAGATCGATCTTCAACATTTGTCAGCCTATTATTATATATATATATACCCAGCTACAATTCTACATACACTAATTATTATAGCCTTATTCAAACAGCGGATGATCACATATATATGCAATTAGACAATCATTTTATGAATTGCAATATTCTTATCTCTTGTTTAATTCCGGCCGCCATGATCGTTAGGTCCGTTCCAGCATTCATTAGGAGCTCCATCTCATGGGCACTTGTTTCTTTGGGAAAATATATCGATCACCTATTTTGCTAATTTATGGTCTTTTATCGTCATGTATCAATCAGTCTAAATTTTAATTTTTAATTTTGGAGTCCTTTTATATATTCTTTAATCGTACTCTATTTGCTAGCATTAGATTTCAGACCATAACTAATATAAATATAAAAGTTATAATGGTAAACTATCTTTAATTAATCCTTTTTTATTGCTTATCAGTCATGGCTCAAATGGTCATAGCAATATTTTAATTTGTGTGCAAACATGCATTCTTGGGCCTAGTAATATGTAAAAAATTTTAGCCTATAAATCCTAAGGGTTGGACTGAATTTTGTATACGTGTTTGAGAAAAAAAAAGAAAAGAAACAACTAAGTTGGACTGTAAAAAGAAAAAAGAAATCGTGGGCTGTAGCCCATTAACGCTCCTAATTATACTAGCTAGCACGATACTAGGTAGGGTAATTGGAGTGGGACATCCGGACAAGTGAATTCATGCCCGACGTATGGGCGCGATCAATGATGTGATGATGGTGTTGTTATTACGTACCTGTGTGTAGCATGCATGCAAGATTGCAAGTAGGGGCCAAGGCGGCAACATAAATCGCGCCCATCCGGAATTTAGAAATCACGTGTTCTACTACCATCTGTACACTGCTGGTGCTGGCCATCAATATTGCAGCTATCAGTTACGCATCGGTTCTACTAGTTCTTGCTGAACTCTCACGTTGACCACCAGTCCACCACATATGGAGATGCGGTGTAATTTGGGAACAAACCTCCCTGATCATCAGTTCCATCCCAGCCGAGATTTCAGGCCGCGCATGGCAATATGGCATGCATGCTTTGTTGTTTGTTCCTCTGCGTTTTGTGTGCTTACCTGGGATTGGAGCGCTGTGTGCACTTTTGTTCATTCCACTGGCTATTCTGCTTGTCAACCAAAGAAAACTCGGTGGGTCCATACAACAACAAGCACTAGCCACAAATCCAACACCCTGCAACTCTGCAAAGACATGGAGTCTTCACAAGAGTACTGTTGGCCTCGTGCGTAACTCGCCATCGATCCTGGTAATCTTGGGTTGGAACCTTGCTTCAAGTAAACACAACAGTACGTACGTTCGCTCGCCGAGCTTGTTCCTCCTGAGCATGCTCTCCGTAAGTCACGGTGCCCTGCTTGACGCCTCTGTGTCCTGACTAAAGAATATATTCGCTTCAAATCCCCAAGCTTATTAGAGCAAGGTTAATAGTATCGCTTACTGCGAGCTATACTTTTATCCACATCATTTATAACTAACAGAGTAGTTAATTTGTATAATAAACAGGCTTTAACATTAGCTAATGCAAACAATATTTTATTCCTCATTTATCTGGTTCTCTCTCTTCTTGTTTCCTCTGATTTGTCCGTGAGCCTTTCACCATCTTGAAACGCGTGTGTAGCTGAGCGACTATTTAGTCGTCCACTCATATTCTCTCTCATACCTTTTCTCCGCCAGCTCATCGTTGTAGTTTACGTGGTTGTTTTAGCGCCGGTGTAGCGCCTCCTATTGCACCTGCTCTTAGTACTGCTGCTGCTGCCTCTCAGTTTAACATCATTAGAGGAAGATTAGAGATTGCAGTTTTGCACCAAAAGCAAGCAAGCACAAGTACTAGTCTCATCCAAGAGAAGCTCTATGGAAAATCGTCGTTGACTTGACAAAAATAAGGTGTGCAGAAACAAGCTTCGGTTTCTGGAACAACCAAGCAGTAGTGCAGTACTAGTACTTATAGTTAAAGTTGCCAACCCGAGGAGTGATCCATGTGCATTGGGGGGCATATGCCACACACGAGTCCAATACTGTGACAAGTATCTCAATCTTCCCAAGAATGTCCCCCCTCCACCTCAATCTTGCCAACAATCGGCTAGTAAAATAAGGCAAATGTGATGGGCAGGAGAAACTGGCTGCTCCAGAAAAGACAGACATCCCAACCCAGATCCAAGCTAACAACAACAGCCGGTGCACCTCGCAGCCGGCCCGTCGATCAGGGCTCCATCATCCCGTCGGAGAGGCGGGAACTCTTCCTCTGTTCGAAAGCCTCCCCAGCGTCCAGGCCTGACCACGCCTTTTCACGTACAACAGATGATACAGCGAAACGCCCGGGTAAGACCGTAGGAAGGAGGGAACACCGTTGAGTTTGGGAATCGGCGTACGAAAAGGTCTTGATGTCACTGCACCCTGTCCGCGCCATGCGCGACGCCAGAGGGAGACTTGACGACGCACGCTGCGCGTATAGCGGCACAGAGGCTTGCGGACGGGGGAGGCGCCGCGACCGCGAGGGCGGTTGGAGAAGCGGACGCAGAGAGAGTCCAGAGACAGTGGAGGATTGGGGTTGTAACCGATCTGCGTACGGGTCGTTGCGGCTCCACACTTGACACCTGCAAGCCCATGGTGACACCTTTTAGGTGACCCAAGAGGTTTGGGCCTGATTGGTGCCATCTGCTGGGCCGATGAGCTCCGAACACGACCTCCTTGCTGCTTTTTTCCTGATGGGTTGGAGCATCTCCGTTCTCCAACAATCACTCCATCAGTCTTCTCAAGCTAAATTTTGATAATTTCAGTTAAAAATCGTGCTTCAACAACCTCTCCCACTGAATGGTCAAACCATCCGGTTGACCAAATCCCTCCACTGATCACTTGCCAAATTTGATCAACCACACTCACTTATTAATTGTGGGCCCCATATGCTATCCCCCTCTTCTTTTTTGCTCTCACGCATCTCTCTTCTCTACATCGCTATTGTCCGCCGACGTCCCTGCCACTACCCCTTCTCCCCTTGTGCCAGTCTCGAGGGAACAGTATACATGCCGACCACGAGAAAGTAGCTGGTGTAGGCTTGGGTGCGTTTGCGGTGATGGCCGCAGTGGTTGTATGGAGGAGATGGAAGCAAAGGAAAGGAAACGTGCGGGACAGCAGGAGGCACTGCCCAGAGGCACCAACCATCACCATAGGAGGAGGATGGAGTTGGCATGGGCTCGGGCACAGTTACTGCCGTCCTTTTCTCCAGCATCAACTGCCACTACCCTGTTCGGCGTCGAGCTCATCCTTGGAGTGCTGGTCTTGAAGTAGCGGGGGCGGACGGGGATAGAGCTGAGGACAGCGGAAGAGGCGCCTCACCTTCCGCCGCGCCGTCTTCCGCCCTCCCGCACCGTCTAATCCTCATTGGTGTTGCCTCGTCTAGCGCTACCCCCTTCCTCGTCGGCATCTCTAGTGGGATAAGACGAAGATGGGGAAAAAGAGGAGGGAGGAGAACATTTATGAGGCTGATATATCGGTCCCACTATTATAGATCTAGAGTGAAGAGGCTGTTGGAGTGAGCAACTAGTTTTACTTGCCAAATCAATTAGAGAGCTGGCTATATAGATGTTTGAAGAGTCTAATTTGTATGGTCTGTTGGAGATGGTCTAAGAGAGGTCTCCAAAAGTTAATGAGCATACGTGCGTCTAAAAAATAATGATGTCATCTATTAAAAAAAACATAGGGAGTACTTGTCTTTTTCTTTCAACAACTCTTTATTTACATTTCTCCTCACTATATCTCCACCAACCTCCCGCTACTCATATACTCCTAATTTAATTGGAGGCGTCATAGTTTTTTTTTCCTTCCTCCTTAAAATCTTCAAAACAAATTAGAATTCTTTAGATTATGGAATCAAGGTAGTAGTACCTTGTTGATCAACATTTGATACTCCACAGTCACTGATATGATATGATATGATATGGCAACGGCCACGGTCCCAGCTCTCCTCCTCCTTGGCTTAAGATTTTTTATCTGTTTCTAATAATCTGATGTGACGACCCTCAGACCTCAATTATCATGTGAAGTTCAAAACTTTGATGATTAAATGGTGTATAAATAATGTGTTCTTCCTATTCTTCAGAAGAATAATAATTCTGATGGTGGTCAGAAAAATCTAAGATTCTCAAGTGATTAATTGACATTTGATTAATTTTAGATTCCCTTGTGTATACACATCTTCATACATTTTCTGCTTTATATAGTACCATTTAGACTACAATACAGAAAAGGATACTATATAGGGACCATATAACACCTGCCTTTCATGCAAAGCACGAGAAAAATGTCTTTTTAAAAAAAATAGAAGAAAATTAAATCGAATGAAAATCGAATGCTACTTTTTTAGGACTTACTCGAGTGCTACTGGGTCATTGATCAATAAAAAGCAACCTTTTCCTCAAAATGAAACAAAGTTCATGAAAGGAACAGTAGCATATATAAGAATATTACCTGAGATAGATGGCTTTGTTGAATTTTCTCCAAAAGACAGGACAATAAGAAAATATATTAACGATTCACAACTTTCAAATTCGTGCTATTACAAATACACGATATAATGACTCCAACTTATTGCAACCTTTGTAAACAGAACAAACGATCAAACCCGTAGCAAATTTATGAAACAAATACACACCAATAAGTGTACACTCGATCGACTGGAACGGCTCTAGTTCTGCAGAACCGCGGTGGAACGTTTGCGACAGAAGATCAACGGTGGTATAGCTATATATGCATGCATGCACATATAAATGCAGCGTAAATGCAACTATGCAAGCGTGCACAGGCGGCGGCGGCGGCGGCTACGAGTGTAGATAGCCACGCATATATATATGCATCAAGTTTGTTTAAGCGCAGGTGTAGCCACTGGGGACGCACTTGCCACAGTAGTTGACAAGGAGGCTCAGCTTCACCGGGATGTTGACGACGACGCCGAGCACGTTGGCCTTGATGGCCGTGCAGAGGCAGACGGCGGCCTCGAGGTCGGCGAGGCCGCTGATGAGGCTGCAGCACGGCTGGGCGGGCACCTGGCCGACCTCGCCGCTGATGGCGCCCAGCACGTCGGCGCAGGCCCCGAACTTGAGCGTGTTCACGGGGCACTTGTTATGGTAGGACGGAGTAGTTGGAGTCGGAGGCGGCGGCGGCGGGAGGGCCGGGGGCGGCGGCGTCGGGCATTTGCCGCACGCGCAGCCGCAGGCATTGGCCGTCGTGAAGAAGAGGAGGTTGATGGCCAAGAGAAACACGAGGATCTTGGATGCCATGGAGCTTATCCTTAAGGGTATATATGGCTATTTGCTAAGGCCGGTGTAGGATATCAGAGCTAGCTAGCTAGTGAGAGATGGGGATGGTCTAGTGAGAGGGTTATGTGGGTATATTTATAGAAGGTAAACCTGCAAAGGACAAACCCTAACCTCTCTCTTTCGTGGTTATATTGTCTAGCAGTAACACGGAAAGTTGTTTTCATCTTTAGAGGAAACATCATATCATTTCTCCCATCTTACATAAAAACTGCATTCATCCTAAAATACAGCAACTAGTATGAGATTTGACACAACCTAGAAGTCTATCAAGATTTGTTTTACTAGTTGTATCTAATCCGGTACTAGTTTGCTATATTTTGAAATAGTAAGAGTAGTCATTATTTTTTTTAAAAAAAATGAATAATAAGATAAGTTAATATGAGATAATCACTCCACAAACATAAAGTTTAATTTCGACTTCTACAAGTTGTAACAAAACAATAAATATAATTGTGAAGTGTTATAGTAAAAGTCGAATTTGACCTTACATGTTTCTGAAATGATATATCCATATTAATTTATCCTATCATTTTTCTTTAACTATTTAGGTAATATACAAGAAATAAGGGGATGTCCCCTCGTGGATTGAGAATTCATCTTCGGAATAACACTTTTATTGGAGTATGAGTGAATTGTTTGTACGTCTTATTACTTAGCTTAGGAATTTATGTGAAATAGTTGGTATATTCAGCTTGATATGGTATTAGAATTAGAGGTTTCAAATTATAAACTGCCAAACATAATAAAATAAACTTTACATATTAAATGTTACCACCACTATTTTTTTAATATATGACATGGTTGACTTTTTTAATCCACTTGACAAGCTAAGGTTGCAGATTATAAGGTTGGTAGGGGTGGATGGGGGAGGTGAAAGGGCGGGCTTTCCCAAGCTTGGAGGGATGACCGCAAGTGGCAGAGGACTAGCAGTGGGCGAAGGATGCGAGGAGGTCGCTAGGCAATGGCGATGTCGATTGAGCCATCGAGATGGATGAGAGCTATGGATTGGTGTTGGAGGCAAGACAAGGAAAACAATAGGGTTAGAAGCTGTCAGAGACCATGAATACAGTAGGGTGGGGGCACCTAACTGTCGCCTAGCTTGGAACAATGGAAAACAAGAAGGCTGGTGGGGCCTTGCCTGCGCTAGCAAGGCTTTTTTTTTTTGGGGGGGGGGGGGAGGGTGGAGGGGACGTTGGCTAGGAGAGGTGGCGGTGCAGAAGGAGGTGGCATGTGACTTGATTGAGACCACTGGCGATCTAGAAAATTGGTTTACTAGTGTCATAACATACATACTGGTATCATAGCATGCTAATCATGCTTAAGCAATGGCGTTATCCTATATGAGTAAACAATTTAACCATAGGTTTTGCTAAAAGTTATCGGTATCACCAGACACTGAACCTAATACTTTATATTCATCCCTGATTGTGACTTGTGATGGAAACAAGGGGAGGAGGGAAGAAATAACATTGGAGGTGGTATTGTAGCTGCACGAACCATGGCACGATCCGAGTCATTTAAAGGTGACTTGAATGAGCGAGATTTTTCTTAGAAATATTATAGCAAGCTTAATAGTACAGCAAACCGCTAGCTCTAAAATTGATACATTATCTACAATCACTCTAATGACCTACTCATACAATAGTTTTATATAAATATATATCGCACCATTAATACTTAATTATAGCCTTTTTTTTCCTCTCTCCTATTCTCTCTTTTTATATGTGCTTGTAGTTAGAATATACTCCAGCATGTTCTTTTTCTGAGATAGACAGTCTCTTAAAAATTAGCTACATGCCTTATAATATTATTTTTCCTCTATATATTTATTAATAAAGAGTAAACTACACGGGTGGTCCTTAAACTTGTAGGGGTGTGTCATCTAAGTCTTCAAACTCTCAATATACAGATCCGATTCCATAACATGTCAACGTATGTCATATAGGTCCCAAATCTCCACAACTTCTCTAGGATCCTACATGACACTAATGTGGCATGCCACACGGACGTGACATGTCATAATCTTGACTAACAAATGGGACCCACTTAAAAATTTTCATTTCCTTTTTCTTCTATCTTCTTTCTTTTTTATTTTTCTTCCTTTTCTTCTCTTTTTCTTCTCTTTCTTCTTTCCTTCCTCTCAGTTCAGCTGTAGGCCACCACTGAACGGGGTGCTCGAGTCATAGAGAAAGGAGAAAAAAAAATAGATTTAGGAGAAGAAAAAGGAAAGAAACGGAAAATGAAAATTTTTAAGTGGATCCCATTTGTCAATCAAGATGATGCCATGCCACGCCACACTAGCGCTACGTAGGATCCTAAATGGGTTGTGGCGGTCTGGGACCTAGATGATACACTTTGACAAGTTCTGATATTTTAATCTACATTTTGAGAGTTTAGGGATCTAGATGACACACCCCTATAAGTTTAAGAACCGCCTATGCACTTTACCCATTACATATATGTGTTTAGATTCATTAATATCTATATGAATATAAGCAATGTTAGAAAGTCTTAAAATATGAAACGCATAGAGTAATAAATAACGTGTTGTACTAATTTAAGCATACCACTTCTAAAGAAAGTAAAGATGAGCACATTTATTAACACATGCCATGCCTGACTATCCATTCTACGCTACTCCTTCTGTCCCATAATATAAGTGATTTTGACATTTTGCTTGTACCGTTTGACTACTTATATTATTCAAAAAATTTGTGCAGATATAAAAAACAAAAAGTTATGCTTAAACTACTTTGGATAATAAAGTAAGTCTAAAAAAATACTAATTCTAAATTATTTTTAATAAGACGAATGGTCAAACAGCGCAAGCAAAATGTTAAAATCCCTTATATTAGGGAACAGAGGGAGTACTTTCCTGTCTTTCTGATCAATTTACAGAACAGGCATTAGCCCTTGTTTAGTTCCCAACATTTTCTTCAAACTTCCATCTTTTCCATCACATCAAAACTTTCCTACACACATAAAATTCTAATTTTTTCTTCAAACTTTCAATTTTAGTTAAACTTTCAATTTTAGCGTGGAACTAAACACACACTTAGAATCAAACTAAAAAAATTCCCTACTCTTCGGTACAGATGGAAAAAGATATGGCTGGTAGCTAGGCATATCAAAGAAAACCCATGTGGAAATGCCAGGGCCAGGGCGAGCAGCGAGCTCGTCCTGAGCTGGCTGGCGAGAGTTGGCTTGGGAGCTAGCCGGCGCGGCCTGCGTGGAGCGCGCACACATCAGCATCGTCGCCAGCTCGGCCGCCCGCACGCGCTGGTCACCACAGGGTTGATCGCGCATTGGCTCCATGGACCGATAGAAAGCGAAGTATCAGTCGCGCGCGACCTCACGGACTGCACAGTAGCACTAGCGTGTGGCAGAGGAACTCTCTGTGATGTATCGGCCGGTGATCAGGTCTGCACAGTACTCATGGTCTTGGAAGACGATGAACTCTGTCTGTATTTGGCCTTTTGTTGGCCTGCTTATGGGTGAAGCGCTGCACCGACGTTACGCTCCTGCTTGGCTACAGGGAACTTCTGGCTGAGGATTGATCCATGTAAAATCCGTGGAGAAACTAATGTGCTCTTCATTCATTCTTCAATTAATCATGACCGTGTAATAAAGCATCTTTGCATGGTTAATTAGATCGATCTGTCGACGGGCTGTAAACTGGTTACGGGCACACATGCATGCCCCTCTGTCAACGGCAGAAGTACGTACGTTCATCGCCATCAAGTTTTCCAGGATGTGGCCCAACGGCAGCCCACGGATTGGAGCCCATTGCATGGAGGGCGGCACACTGCACAGTTAGCGCGTCCCAGCCTGCGGCTCTGTGCCACTGCAAGCAGCGGGCAAGAAAGAACAAGGAATCAGTATAAGCCACGCGTACGATATGAACAGAAATATCTGGCGTAATCAAGTTCTCGTGTCTCATGCAACGTCGTCACTTTCACCGGCACAAACAGCGTCCCGGCCGGCCGGGAGGTCACGGGTGGACGGATGTACGCCTTGACGATTTGATCGATGCGCTACCCATGGTATTGTTGCCGTCGGCGACGAGAGATTAAAGTATGTTTCGACAGATCGGTTGCAGTGGGAATGTTCCACTGTACCAAGGGCAGGGTTTAGATCTGGATCTCTTGAAACAATTATTTGGGGTTAGTGATAATTTCGCTTATCTCTTTGTACTTTTATAATGCAATCAAGTTTTTTGCGTTGGGCGGACGTGCATGTACAGGCATACCTTACAAATTAAGGGATGTACGTATAAGCTGATGTGCGTTTTGTAGCCGGATATCCTTGCGATATTGGACGGCGAATTTCTTTGGATCCTCCTATACTTTGCGGGTCGGTCACGGCATAAATAATCAATACGGTACCGAACTTGTTTCTCTGATGGATCGAGAACTATATACGTGGTCCACCACCCGGCTAGCGAGCCAAGGATGGTCGCGCGCGGATTCGTGGTGCACCTACGAAATCCACCGCAGCCGACAAGACCTCCCCGCGGTGTATTAGCCCGGGCGCGCGCGCCCCTGCGGTGTACCGAGAGCCGGGTGGACGAGTAGGTCAGTAGGCCACTCCGGCCCACGTGCTTAGAGCAAGTTTAATAGTACAGCTAACTATCAACTCGAAATCATCTATAATCAATGTAATAGCTAATTTATACAATAGTTGTTTACTATACTACTAATACATAGTCACATATGTCATATACACATTACGTCTTGAAATCCGTGCTGCAACTGACTACAAATCTGTAGCCCGCTGCTCTTCTCTTTCTTTCTTTATATCTTTAAAATATGTTTATAGCTAGCTTTTAGCTTGCTATTGTACCTGCTCTTAATAGTATAGCTAACTATCGCTCCAAATCATCTATAGTTAATTTTATAGCCAATTCATACAATAGTTACCCATAAACATATACTACACAATTAATATCTGGTCTCTCCTGTCATATATACATGCATCTTGCAGTTCGTGTTGTAGCTGGCTACAGATCTGTAGCCCGTTGCTTCTCTCTCTCTCTCTTATTTTATCTCCTTAAATATAGCTGGCTTATAGTCTGCTATTATACCTACTCTTAACCAGAAGAGGTAAGTAGGTAACGTGTGTGATGGCTTCGTTGCCCTTGTAGTTGCAGCCGTCCACTATTAGCTCTAATTTATCTATAGCCGATCTAATAACGAATTTATACAATAGTTGCTTACTATACTATTAATATATGGTCCGACCTGTCATACACACACTGTGTCTTGGAGTCCATACAAATTTGTAACCCGCTGCTCTTCTCTCTCATATTTTATCTCATTAAAATATGTTTATAGCTGGCTAATAGTCTGCTATTGTACCTGCTCTGAATGGTGGGTTCACCGAGCGAATGTTCGCACGCGGTCTAGGTCCGTGAACACTTTTGGTTCAACCCACGTATGTTATCTTTTTGCCGAACATGAGAATCTGTTGTGAGTGAATTGCATATTGGGCCATATAAATTTACCAGAGCTTCAGCTTAGACCACTGAAGCATCTAGGCCCCTGGTGTTAATTTTGGTAATTAATGACAAGCACTAATTATGGACTAACCGTTGTCTTTGAGCTATACATTTTAAGTTAGGTCCACGTCATATGTGCGCATGGATGATTATCGATGGATTAAAATTGACGGCGCAAAGCAAAGGGAAAGAAGACGGTAAAACTAGCGCTTTAATTTAGAATTGATCGAGGTGTAGGGCGATCAAATTTGCTAGTTTAATTTTAGTTTCGCCGTACTATTAAGAGGGGTAATGACCTAGCAAAGAGATGATTTTAATTGCCACATTAGGTCATTGCATTTTCATTTGTGCTCTCTTTTTCATTACACACACATTCATTTGCAAATTCACTGGGTTCGGCCTGACCAGGGGCGGTCAGACCGGCCACATAGTGGCGGTCTGACCGGCGTGCCCTGGCCGGTCTGACCGGCCCCGCGGGCGGTCTGACCGGCGGCACTTTCCCGGTCAGACCGGCCCCCTGGAGGCCGAGATGATGCTGCTCGGGATGGCCGATACAGAGCCGACGGAGCCGTAGTCGGTCAGACCGAGCTGATGGCGGTCTGACCGAGCCGAGGCCGGTCTGACCGGCCACCCCATGTCGGTCTGACCGGTCAGGCCGATGGGGCCCTCTGACAGCACTTCAACGGCTAGTTTTCTAGCCGTTGCAGAGTAGCACGGTCTGACCGGCCACATACCTTCGGTCAGACCGGCAGAGCACAAAGTTGGGGGATTTCGCCACCAACGGCTAGTTTTGGTGGGTGGGAGTATAAATACTCCCCCACCAGCAGCAAGGGGGCTCTCTTGGCACCCAATTCAATTGCATACACCCCTTGCACCTCTCTCACACTCACTTGAGCTTTGTGTTCATCCATCTAGTGTGTTAGAGGGTTGTTTAGCCAAGAGTCAAGTGCATTTGCTTCCATTGTAGAGCTAGTGTGGCACTTGATCATCTCCACACCGGGTCATTGCTTGTTACTCTTGGAGGTTGCCGCCTCCTAGACGGCTTGTGGAGGAGTTGCCCGGTGACCTCTCCGAGAAGATTGTGGAGGAGGCCCGGCGCCGGTTTGTGAGTGGTTTGGAGTTCACCACCTTCGGAGTGAAGGAAGAACTACCCCGAGTGATCGAGGCTTGGGTAGTCCTCTCCGTGGGCCGGCTTCCGCCTTGCCCACCCCTTGACGAAGGGGGCGTGCGGTGGCTTTGTGGTTGAGCGGTGGAGTTGGGCTCGCCTCAATGGGGAGTAGGAAACCAGCGAGTTTCCGAACCTCGGTGAAAAATCTCTTGTCTCATTGTCTCATTTGATTGTCGCATTTACATTTGTGCAATTTACTTTCCTAGAGATATAATTGAGCCACTATCACCCTAGGTTTGCAAAACATAACTTAGTTACTTAGTTAGAGTTCACCCTCACCAAGTCTAGCAACTTAGGTTAGATTTGATTAGGTGTTATTTAATTTTTAAATCGCCTATTTACCCCCCTCTAGTCGACATCTCAATCCTACAACCACCCCTAATACAAAGATTTCACTTTAGACCATATAACTTTACTATTTTTTTCACTTTGGACCACCCTTGTCCACCATCTCCAACTTCAGCAGCCTGCTGCCACTGTTGGTGTGTGCGCCACCACTGTGAGGATGCCAAGGTGCCGTGAGGGCTTCCACACGATTGTTGCTGGCCTCTGTCCACTCATCCCCTCCCTTTCAGTTTGTACAATCGAGCTGCCATCGAGCATGGGTGGCTTCCTCAAAATTGATCAACAGAAGCTTAGAGCTGGTCGGCACATGAGCTCCAACCGTTCTTCGCCTGCTCTGGCCGATTAACTCGAGCTCAGCTGAAGGCTGAAGCTATCTCTACGCGAACTGGCCCGATGCACGTGCTCGCAGCCTCGCACTCGACTGTACCTCCTTCCTAGCGCGCTCTCTCTCTCTCGGATGCATTGCCGGAGTTGGTGAATGCCCGAAGAAGCAACGGCTTGCCGCTTGCGTAGTGCAGTAGTGGTGGCAGTCAGCTAGCAAATGGAAACGGATAGACTGACAGATTGATAGAATAGTGGCCCAATGTGCAAAGATGGTAACAAACCCTTGCCTAAAGTGAAAATATTGCATATGGCCTGGTCCAAGATGGAAATTAGGCAATAATACTTGGCCCATGATGCAATTCACTCAAAACTTTATGCATAGCTAAGTGATTGTCCAGTACTCTAGGAGGTATTAGAAATACATCATAAATGTGTAAAATTTGATACCCTACTATTAATTAGGAGATATGAAAATTACACTAAAACTTTTTTTTACCACTTGTTATCTTTGAGCTGAGGCACTGTAAAATTTCTCTTACACATATAAATGATTTATTAAAATTTTATTGTAAAAGTATTTCAATCCGAATTCGAATTAAATTTGAAAATATACTGTTTATTTAATTTTTTCTTATAAATATTCGGGATGTAAAATTTTTTGCGTAAATATACCGTCAATCTCGCACAACCGTTGCGCGAGAATAACGTGGGAATGACGTCGTGAGCGGTATCCGCGGCGAAAGCGCGAGACCGCTCGGTCTCACGGAATGGTACAGCGAGACAGAACGGTCTCGCGCAAGGACTGAGCGAGACCGGTGCCATGCTGATTCAATTAGCGACTAATTATCTTAATTAGCAATTATTTATTTATTAATTAATCGCTAATTAAGATAATTAGTTGCTAATTATTATTAGTTAATTGCTAATTAAGTAATTAAGCACTAATTAAATGGAACCGGTGGACAGTTTCGCTGTTTGATTCCGCGAAACCGAACGGTCTCGCTCTTCCATTGCGCGAAACCGCGCGCTCTCGTGCCTTCACCGCGCGAGACCGTGCGCTCTCGCACTTTGAACGCGCGATACCGCCCATGACATCACACCCACCTAGGTTTCGTGCAACGGTTGCGTGAGATCGACGGTATATTTACACAAAAAATTTTGCATCCCAAGTATTCATGAGAAAAAATTGAATGCATAGTATATTTTTAAATTTAATTCTCCGAATTCAAGGTTTAAATCGGAGTCGAACATGTAAACTCTTTCAGTGCATAAACTTAACCAAAAATTAAAAAAAAACATGTGCTGTAAAAGGAAAAACCATAGGCATATTCGCATGTCTAGGTCACGCGAGAATGTTCACGCCTGCAACCCTGCACCCCTTGTCCGATTGGCCTCTTGTTGACTTGTTGACGTGTAGCTTAAACTCCGGCTCGCACCTACTAATAGATTGCATCCTCATTAAACATGCATTTTTTAAGAAAAAATGGTTCATGTACTAGATTTACTAACTATATATCTACAATGCAGATGAGTTATTTTCCCAACTATATATTTATGATCTCTTCTTGTTAAGAATATGTATGTGCTATTACACCAATTAAACGAAATTTGTGTTAAATTTATTGTGGGATATATATGTGTAGAATTTAGTACAAGTTACATGTTTTTTTACGTGTGCGCACGCTTATCTTTGGGGGCCGGGGTATATAACATTGTCATATATTTCCTCCGTTTTATATTGTGTGTCTAGATTTATTAACATATATATACTTTTTTCATCTCAAAATATAGCAACCTAGAATCGAATTGAACATATCCTAGTACTACGAATCTGGACATGGGATACGTCATATCCGGTCCTAGATTGCTATATTCTAGGACGGAGGGAGTATATGAATGTGGGCAATGCTATAAAGTCTTATAATATGAAACGGATGGATGGAGTATTTTAGTAGAATACATTTAAAAAAATCATTACATTTTAGACGATGACATGAAAGTGATGAGTAAACATGCAAGCACTTCAGTTACAAATAACAGAGCAGAGAGACTTTATTTTTACGTACTGAATACAATACAAGTGATATGAATCAAACAATAATTTCCAAAAAATAAAACAAACATGTACCCCGATGCATAATCTCGCGTACGCGCGGAGAAGGCCACAAATTAAACAAAATCATATCGAATCAAACCAGATACGTACTTCTTGCCACCAAATGCACGCATGCATGAACATGCCCATGCATGACAAGTGACAACACGCTGCTAGCACGTAGGAACCAAATAAACCCCTGTTGCGTTGAGACGTGCATGGATCGATCGCGCGGCTACTTTATAAAGCCTTTAGAAGCACTTGAAGCCGGTGGGCACGCGCTTGCCGCAGTAGTTGAGGATGAGGCTGAGGTCGACGGGGAGGTTAAGGTTGATGCCGAGAATGTTGCCCTTGATGGCCGTGCAGAGGCACACCGCCGCCTCGAGGTCGACGAGCCCCTCCAGCAGCGGGCAGCACGGCTCCGCCGGCGGCACGCCCACCTTGGCCTTGATGAGGCCCAGCACGTTGGCGCACACGCCCAGCTTCAGCGCGTCGCGTGGGCACTTGCCGAATGCGGCGGGAGTCGGGGTGGGCGTCGACGGGGTCGGCGGCGTCGGCGTCGGGCAGTGGCCGCCGCAGGCGCTGCCCAACGAGAAGACCACCAGGTTGACGGCGAGGAATAGCGCGATCGAGGCCTTGCCTGCCATTGCTGCTGCTGGATCACGCGCACTAAACCGAAACGATATTAATTATCTCTTGATAACTCGATCGATTTGCTTAGTGCTTGTGATGGTTTGGCATTCAATTTGACGTCGTATTTATAGGAGATGATTAAAGCAATATAATGCTGATTGGTTATATGTTATGACGAGCAACCATGCATGTGAGGGTGATTAGGAAGCTGATCTGGATTCTCCAAGGAAAGTACGCTGGAAATACTTTAGCTAGTATTGAACAGAACTAGCTAGAGACCAAGATTGCTGCTTTGTGAATGCACGTTGACGTTTGTACCTGCTTGAAGGTTTTGGTCATAATTCTGCTTAAGCATATTCGCGTATGGGGTGGCTGCTCTGTCTCTCTGTGCCTAGCTAATAACGTGCACAAAATGCCAAATAAAGTTGGTTTTAATTAGTAACGATGCAATAATTAATGATCAGGGAAAATAAACAGCGAAAGAATCATTCGACGAAGGACACCCGTGTTAAGTTGTTTTCAGGTTTCATAGTGTACGTACTTGCAGAAGAGGGAAAATAAATTCCAGGCTGCAGTTTTGTTTCATTTGGCTCACGGGATCGTCGTCGGATGATTCTATCGAAAATTCGAACATATGCACTTGTAGTCTTGTTTGGTTTGCCTCGTATGTAAATAATCTAATCACGTCGCTGTGCTACCTGATCCAATATATATAATCACGTCGTTGTGCCGTCGCAGGTTTTTTTTGGCTTTTTCTTCGTGTGGGTTTAGCCTAGGTTTTTACTTCAAACCATGCTTATGTGAGGGTTTTTGGCTTGGTTTTCTCTTAAAATCTAGGCCAAGTCTTTTCTTCTTAAATAAAAACAGACACTCTTTGTCCTCTTCTGTGTTTTTCTTTTAAAAAAAAACTATGATCTTAGACGTTAACTCTAATAAATTTCGGCTGACTTTCTTCAGCCAGCCTAGTGGAAAAAGGAGTAGATCTTGAATTTTGTCTGCCAGATGAGTTACTTATTTATTACATTGTGTTTGATTTTATTCGCTACAACATAACCGTTCATCTCTGACGGTTCAATAAGGTTATCACTAATTATTGAGTGATCCGATGTTGATTATTACTCGGTTGTGAGAAATGACTCATTGTAACATGTGAACATCCGTGAGTGATCAAGACATCTATAACGGGCCAAAAAATATCAAATGTGACATATATGAAAATCGACAAAAAAAAAAGCAAAAAACATAATCACAGTGGGAGCTTGCAGTGCTCGAGGCTGAGGGTGTAGAAAAGAGAGGGAGAAACGACAGTCCGCCACTATTTCATTGCTTCTGCTCGGATGGGTGAGGGTTAGCACTTAATTAGCAGCATCCGTGTCGGTGCTCCGGCTTGGGATAGGAGCTAGACGGTAGCCGCGTTGGTGCTCGCCGTCATATGGGCCACTGTAGTGGCCTCTAGTCATTATCGTCGTCGTACTACATAAGATCCTATGTTCTTGAGCTCAAACTAGTCGAATATGGCATCCTCGAGCTCGAAGTAGTCAAATTCAGTTACTTTATTATTTGTGGAGAGGGTTAAGCAAGGGAGCATTGCTGGTTGTAGGGGGCGAAGGAAGAGACTTGGGGAGGGAGGGGGGAGGGGAGGGGTAAGCTGGCAACATCTGCATTATGCTCATGAGTACGATGAGCGCTGCTCGTTTCAAGAGTTCAACTTGTGCGAGAGAGATAATAGAGATGCAGGTCGCCAGTTGAAAATCATATAGATTAGAAAGACCTGCTAGAGAGCTTTTCTCTAATGGCTCGTATTTATCATTCGTTATTTATGATGCTCATGATTTGTGATGGTTCTTATAGACTCTAGAGATCAAAGCTCATCTTTAACGACTACCCATATATTGGTTCATAACTATGGCCCACCATAAAGGGTCCTATACCTCTTATGGGTCATTCTCCACAGGTATATTTCAAACATACTACTTTTTAGCCATTAGAAATGAGTTCATCTCAATGTTTTGTGTTGGGCCGTTACGGCACCTTTTTTTTAAAAAAAAATAGTGTTTTGCATGAGTTTCTGACCCCTTTTGAGCTTACCCACCATATGCTTACAACCTTCTTACCCACCCTAAGCGGTTTGGTAAACCCAGGGTGGCATTCGTTCACATCACCCATTCCACGTTGGACATATGCCATAATCCCAAGCGGTGTCACCAAGCCAATAGATGACAGCGGGCATTTATTGCGCACCAGACACAATAGGTTGACAAGGAGTAAAAATTCACAATTTAGTCAATCTTTCAAAACAATTTAACCGTCAATATTATATTAGAATAAGTTTTAAAAATCTAACATCTTTATGATATTATGATAGTACTAGTATTTTTCAAGGAAAATTTATCTATATATACCATTTATTTGATTTTAAAGTAAGTATTCGAGAAAGTACTATCGATGGTCAAAAGTTCACAAATTTTGATAACTTTTGTCTTAAACGTCTAAGTACGACGAAAACAGCTAGTAACTCTTTTTGCGGACAGACATTGGGCATTCCAAACAAAGTGTGAAATTTATTTTATTCATAATGCAAAAGAAATAATCAACAGATCATACAAGGACCCACACATGAAACGAATAAAAACACGGAAAATCGAGTAGCTCCATGGTACGTGTGCATGCTTAATTTGCAGGTGCACGCATGCATATTTGTCGATCGATCCATGCATGCGCGCAAATGTTGCAAGCTAAGCTAGCACGTAGTAGCAATCAAACAGTCCAGATAAAATAGCCAGCGGAACAAATGCGCAGTAGCGCCGCCGCCTATCGATGCTTAGCATTTGAAGCCGGTGGGCACGCGCTTGCCGCAGTAGTTGAGGATGAGGCTGAGGTCGACGGGGAGGTTGAGGTTGATGCCGAGGATGTTGCCTCTGATGGCCGTGCAGAGGCATACCGCCGCCTCGAGGTCGACGAGCCCCTCCAGCAGCGGGCAGCACGGCTCCGCCGGCGGCACGCCCACCTTGGCCTTGATGAGGCCCAGCACGTTGGCGCACACGCCCAGCTTCAGCGCGTCGCGTGGGCACTTACCGAACGCCGCCGGCGTCGGGGTGGGCGTCGATGGGGTCGACGGCGTCGGCGTCGGGCAGCGGCCGCCGCAGGCGCTGGCCAACGAGAACACCACCAGGTTGACGGCGAGGAACAGCGCGATCGAGGCCTTGCCTGCCATTGCTGCCGCTGGATCACGCGCACTAAGCTGACGAGCGATTAGCTCTCTGGAGTTTCAGGAGCTCCTGATTACTAGCTCGATTGCTGTGTGGTTGTGATGGTTTGATGGCATTTGTGGCTTGAGTATTTATAGGAGAAATTTTGGTGCAATGCTGGATGATTAGTGGGTGCAGCTGTGAGCTTGCATGTGAGGATGATTTGCTGGTTGATCTGGATTGGCCTGAATATATTTTGGTAGAACATTATAGTGACCCAGATGCTGCATTTGAGGAACATGCTGACGTTTGTTTCTGTTCGGTGATTGATGATAGTTTAGCACACAATCTTGGCGTATGGCATGGCTGCACTGTACCTCGTAACATGCACCAATGGCGAAAAACCGAATTAATTAGGAATGTTTTTTGGCGTGATCGGTTGATAGATCACGGAAGGGACGTCGACATGTACTGGAATCAAAGCAGGAGGAATCATATCATGCTAACTTGCTTGAGCTTTCCAGACAACCACCACTCCAGCCCATATTTCGGTTTTTTCGGAAAATGCTAGGGCAGGCGCCCGATCCGGCGGGAAAAAAAATCGGACGCCCTCTCCCCCACGCGCGCCTCTCCGCGAAAAAAAGGCGCCCTCCTCCACGCGCGTCTCCGCCTGCCTCCCACACGTCCCCACCACTCAATGCCCTCCGTTGCAACAAATCTCCCACATATTACGGAAACTCTCTGTTAAGAGAATACGTTTCATTTTTTTTCTCAACTAGTGTACTTATAATGGTTAATTATGTATGGATGAAATGTGAAATGTTGCAGTGAATTGAAATATTCTTTTGCAACAAATTACCCACATATTATGGAAACGCTTTATTTAGAGAATCCGTTTCAATTTTTGTTCCACCAACAATGTTTCAGTAAGTGTACTCATAATGTTTCACTATGTATAGATCAAATGTTGCAGTGAATTAAAACATTATTTCGCTATTTGCTGAAATATTATTTTTATATAAGGTGAAACAACGCCTGATTTTTTAAAAAACCGTTTTCATACGTTGTAGCAAAATGTTTTATGAGGTGATTTTGTTGTGTTTCAGCTTTTTAAACGATTGAAACATTTTCGATCTATTTAGTGAAACAATTCCGATCTACTTGGTGGAACAACGTGCAACATTTAAAAATAATTCAATAATAAGCTAAATATTTTTTCATCGGATTATATCCATGTGTGGTCTTGTTTTTTTTTAAAAAAAATCGAGCACCCGATCCGTAGGTGCGTCGATTGTTTTCTAAAGTAAATTTCGATGGTACTAATAGTCATGAATGGATTTTAAACTGTTGAGGAAATATTCCCTCGTTGTTTGCAAATCATCCAAATAATTATGAAAGAAAATGGCAAGATATGTTAATATGTGATATATCACTCTGAAACATGTTGGTTAAAATTCAATTCCTATAAGTTAAAAAAAATCAAGTTCGATTTATATAAGTTAAAGAAGGAGTTAAAATTTGGTTTCTATATAAGTTAAAGATAAAGAAGACAGTCGTTGCTCGTTAGCTTGGTGTAAGAGCATCTCCAACAACATCTCTATCTTCCTCTCCAAGTTAAAAATTGACATTTTTGGACAAAAACACACTCCAACAGACTCTCTATCTCCCTCTCCAAGCCATCCGGCTGGCCAAACCACTCCTCCCGCTGGCCAACTTTGGCCAGCCAAAATTGACTTGCCAATCATGGGCCCCACGCCTTTTCCCCTCTCCCTCTCCCCTCCCATATTCTCTCTCCACGCCCTCACCCTCCTCCCAGATTGCTCGCGCCGGCGCCGCCCCTCTGTCGTCGTTGCCCCTTGTTCGCGGCGCCGTCGACCGCTGCCGTCCGCTCGCATCCTTCGCCCGTGCTCGCCGCTGCCACTCGCTCGCATCCTCAGCCATGGCTGACTGGTGCAGCGAGCAGAGCGGAGGAGGTAGTGCAACGGTGAGGGAGGGAGGGTGCGGCGGCGAGGGAGTAGCAAGGGAAGGAGGGGAGGCTCAACGGTGGAGGGCTGTCGAGGAAGACGAGGCTGGCCGCGCTCCTGTCGTCCTCTGCTGCCCGTGTTGCTCCCGCCGTCGCAGCCTCCATCCTCGCGCCACACTCTCGTCGTCCTCCACCGCCCGCACCGCTCCCGTCGGCGCCGCCTTCATCCCCGCACCGCTCGAGTCGTCCTCCGCCGCCGCGCCGTTCCCGCCGGTGCCGCCTCTATTCTCCCCACGCCACACTGCAGAGAAGAGAGGAGAGGAATAGGAGAGAAGTGGGTGAAGAAAAAGGGGAGAGAAGTGGAGGAAGAAGGGTTATTTGAGGCTGACATACGGGTCCCACCGTCATAGATTCATAATGGAGAGTATGGATGGAGAGTCTGTTGGAGCAACTAACTAGTCTGACTAGCTAAGTCAGATAGAGAGTTGGCTATATAGGTGTTTGGAGAGTCTGATTTAGAGAGGCTGTTGGAGATGCTCTTACTGGTAAACGAAACATGGAATATTTCAGCCCAGATAGGCCCCAACTTCTCTCAACCGCTATCATGGGTCACAGATTTCAGCCCTGATAGCCCCCAACTTCTCTCAGCCCAGATACGCGGAGTTGCCCATGAAACTGTGAGGCCTGAACGTTTATAAGCTTTGGCCCATTGTAAACACTATTCACATTGGATCTTGATGATTTCTTGAGGTTAGTTAGGCCTCATTGAGAATTGCAGTGGCTCCTCCCACCACTGAGAAACGAGCACAGCCTCATCTCACGCGGCACGATGCATTCCATCAAATCAAATCCAATGCACAGCCGCTTTGCGGTTACCGAAGCGCCCGTTTCGGCGAAGAGTCGCACAGCACAACTCCTCTTCAAAGCCCATCACTCACACGCGACGCGGCCGCTCAAACAAAAGCAAAAACCGCCCACTACTTTGCTCGATCGATCGAGAGGAGGATCGCGCAGACGTAGTTCGTGCGCCACCGATCGACGACGCGAGCATGGACGTGGACATGGAGAGGCCGCCGGCGGCGACGGCGCAGGGCGTGCGGCCCAACCCCGTCGTGGAGAGGAAGCTCGGAGAGCTGGACGCCTGCCTCGCCGACGCGATGTCCTCCCGCCCGCGGCGGAGCGACGTCGACGGCAGCCTCTTCGCGGAGATTCAGGCCAAGACCGACTTCCTAAAGACGCTTATCGCCGCGGAGGGGGAGTGCCACGGCGGCGCGCTGCCGGAGCACCTGGAGGAGGCCAAGGCGCGCTTCGCCGTCCTCAAGGGCGCGTTCGACAAGTGGGCGCGGCGCGACGACGCGGCGGCGCCAGCGGAGGAGGAGCAGCCCGACGGGGCGGCCGGCTCGGGGTCCGAGTGCTCGTGCACCGAGTCATGCTTCGGGGTCGAGGTCACCGGCTGCCTGGAGGCGACGTCCGACGTCGAGCGCGAGGCCGTGGAAATGGCGACGCTCGGCGCCACGTTCAACGCCGAGCGCAGGGCCGGACACAAGCCGTCGCCGTCGCCGGCGGCTGCGACAAGGAACGCTGCTCGGCGGCGCGGATGGAGGCGGAGCGCTGCTTGCTGCGGTGCAGCCGGCGCCGTGGCGGTGCTCGCGCTCGCCATCGGGGTGGCGATTGAGTTTGCGTCGGTGGCTCGCCAAAACGTTTACGTTGTTCCGACCTGACAGATTTGTTTCCCTTGCAATTTCGCTGTTTTTTTCGTTGTGGCCTCCTACAGTATTTAGCAACATGTAGAGTAGCTAAATTTCGCTCTTCCTGTTTCTTGTGTGGTATCCGACTACTCATAAACATGTAGTAGTTTACTGTAAGAAGTAAATCAAGGAGATATTGGTATTTTATAGTCTGCATACATTCTAAACTCTCTTAAATGTGTATGAAAAAATTTGAAAAAAAATCAACATGTGAGATAAAATTTAACAAGATAAATTAATATGTGATAGATCAATCCACAAACATACAAGATAAAATTTAACTTCTACATGTTACAATAAAAAATTAACTGTGAATGTACATTAACTAGTTGTAGTTTAATTTGTTTTATTTTGTAACTTGCGTATTAGTGGAGTCATATATTACATGTTAACAAATCTTCTGATTTTTTTTTCATTTTTATCATAACTATCTGAGTCATGCAAACAACAAGAATGTTCTCTCCGAGACTTTAAAATCCCTTATTTGTTTCTGCATATAAGAGATTATAATCCTGCATAAAACTTGTCTTAAATAGGTTAGTGGGGTTGCTTGGCCAAAGCTATGACGACTTGACGAGTCCTTGTCCATGGCAATCATCTGTGTCTGTTCATTTTGTCATCTAGGCTCATCTCTTCACTTCTTGAGTCAATAGAGGAAGTAGTAAAACTTTGTTTTCTCTATCTATCACGGCATTACAGATCACAAGTACTTCAATTATGCTATACAATTTACATGAATAAAATGCAAATAGCTCGTCTTCTATCTGAAAATGTACAACCTATTGAATATTTTCTATGCGTACACTACTACTCTATTGCCTGTGACAGTATTATAGATAGCGGAGATGGTGCGTTAGCTTGGTGGAAATAAACAGAGATCCTTTTTGCGTAAACATATGACTAAACCTTGATCTGCTTCATGAAGTGCCCAATGCAGACAGATGACATGAAAACTAGCAGCACAAACATTGCTGAGAAGCCCTGTTGAGATGATCTTGCTGCCCTAAGTAGTTCCTGAAGCAATATTAAATTTAAATGTTCAGACGTTTGACAAAAAAATACAACTAATACTTGTCTAAGCAGTCGTTTTAAAAAAAGTGTGTTGCAGTTGTGATAATCAGGTGTTAGAATTTACAAGTTGTACACTGAGGTTGTTCATCAATATTGAGGGCATAATAACTCATAATTAGCAAAAGCCTGTAACTGAAATTGTAGTTCTGGTAACATTTAACTCGAGAGATAGAAAATGCCAAGCCAATTTCAGTCATGTTTCTTAAAGAATTTATTCTGTCCTTATATACCTACCACTACCGGTGCATCATTATTTCAGATGAGAAGATACAAACAGGAATAGCATTATTCCTACTCCAGTTTGTCGACTACTGTAGCTCAGTAACGCAAATGTTCCCTTCATGGAAACTAAAGGACTAGGGCTCATTAAAAGATCACCTATCTATCACCAAACGCCAATGCATCCCATATCCTCATTGATTAACCAATGCTGCTATTCAACAGTTTCCTGGAGTCAAAAGCTCCTTTGTACATATTTATCCAATAAAGATATCCAGATTCGGTGGTTTTATGTCACTCAAAAATAATTCGCTTTGTACCAAACTACCAATAGATTTGATTGAGTACGTGTCATTTTTGCAGAGTTCAATCCAGCTTTTTAGTGCAAACATATTCAGTTTAACAATATTGTTGCCTCAGGCATAATCAGGGTGAAAAAGTTAAGTATTATCACTATTTCCTTCAAGATATAAACATTGTTTCAAGAAAACGATTTAGAAGCAGGTACTGCAGTAGAATCCAACGCTGAAATGGCAGGCTATTCAAAGAGCGTAACATACAGGAAAAAGGTACTGAAATCTTACCATCTGTTGCTGAAGCTTCTGATTTTCTTCTACTGGATATTCTCTCTCTGCAACCAGCATTGATTCTACAGAGACACCCTGAACAGCCACACGCAAATGCAATATGAGCAAGGCAGAGCAAACTGATAGATTAAAGCGTCAGTTTACTGCAAAAAAATTCTGAGTATAACCCGCTAAATAGTATTGTCTCAACCAACCAAACAAGACAATACACTGAATTATAACATACAGGTTCTTTGTTTTAGGTATCATACTGCTGTACTGACAATGGCATGGTACCAAACAAGGTCACTTATCTACCCAGACAAAACAAACTGAAGAAAGAAGTTGACTACTAAACTTTTGATAATGACATCAAGAGTCTCATTCTGCAGGAGAAGCATCACAAGGTTGTTAGGTAAAACACGTTAGAGATAACTTTGACATGAAAATTTTTAGTATTACATTAGCTAACATGTGATTGTGATGAACCTGAAATTTTTGTTTTCTTTTAAAATCGGACATCGGCTCGTGTGCAATGTGCATTTTTACTATAGAAAAAGCATCAGAGTACACTCAATATTTTTTAAAAAATGTAAAACCCGGATGCCATTATGACAATGCAACCAACAAGACTATGCATCACTCATCTTAGTGACTAAAAAAACTTTAACCGAGCAAATGGTTACCTCAGCAGATGAAACTTTGTCTGCTGACCTATCGGTGAGTGTGGATACCTGAGAAGGAAACATGTATGATATTGTTTTCTCTGTAGCACCGAATAAACATCAATGCATGATATTACTTACAGTTACAGCATCAAACACTGATGTCATTTTCACTCCATGGCTCATGACCTCTGACTGAGGGGATGCATCCTCTTCCTCTTCCTCTTCCTCCTCAGGCACTGGAGAGGGAGGATTAGCAGCAACATACACCACCCGCAGCTTGAACTCCTCGATCACCCTGCCTGGCGCTTTAGTAAACTAGAAACCACAACACCATCAGCTCTAAATTTTGGTAAGCCCCGGCTAGAGATATCAGATATCCATGAAGATTGCTACAAGAACTTACCAATTCAGGGACAAAGTCTCTCATGGTCGCCCCATATCCAACCGCCACGCTCTGCACGAGGAACTTGTCCTTGCAGTGGTAATCGGATAGCATTTCAACGGGAGCCTGCATTGTAACTACACCGATTTCACAATTTCAGTAACGACATGAACACAACAGACCGATCGGCAAGTCGAGCAAATTAACTAATTAAGCACTGTAATAGTGTAATCATGTAGAGCAAATCAAGCAAACCTCACCTGTGATATCGCACGAGCTCCGGGGCGGCAGTATACCGCAGGCGTGCCGCACAGAGTACTTCCTTGGGTTCGTCGTTTTCACCTACGGATTGTCAGTTTTGCAGAACGAAAATCCGTCACCCTTTCCTCCAAACGCATCACATGCTCACAGCAGCATCAGCTCAGAGCGAGAAGAAGAACAGAGTATTCATTCACCTTGAACGCCACGTACTGGTTGGTCTTGTTCGTCAGCTGCATGCAGCAAGACCTCTTCCTCTTGTACTCATCTTATCAAACCACCGCATAAACAAGAAATCAAGAAGAAAATCAGTCAAGAAAAGCTTGAAGCCAACGCTGCGAACAATCAAGAGTTTGGTTCTTGGAAAGCACTTACAGGGGATCTTGAGCTCGGAAGGGTGCACACGAAGCAGCGTATTACTCATGGCTCCGATCGGACAGAGCGAGAGCGAGAAAGGAGGAGCAGCAACAGCGGAAAAGATTCGGCCTTTTGCTCCCTTTCCCGTTCCAAAGAACCTGTGTGACCTGGACGTCGCGGCGCGGGAAGTGGCTAAGCGGTTGCTGCCTCTTGAAGTAAAGTATACGGGCAAAATGGCGATGGTATGATGAGCGGATGGTGATCTGGAATTCTGGATTCCGTGGAGCAGCTCGGGGATCGGAGGAATAGGATATTGGCCTGAACTTTATGGTGGGATCGTTGCGGCAAATATCATATTTAAGGGATAGGATTAGAATGCTCGTCATGGTAATTGCAAAAACCTCCAATCCAATCGCATTCGTTGGATGCGACATCAACGTTGCCGATGTGAGTCCTCTGGATTTTCTTTTTGGTGTCAGCTTTGGGTATGCCCTTTTTTATATACTAGTATATTACTACTACTACTAATCTAGGATTTTTTTCCCCCTGGAATGTGTAGCCTATTTCAGTTAACTAACTGCCTAATGCAGAAATTTATAGAACTCATAATGGGCACACTAGTTTGTTGCAAAATTGGCTAAAATTTCCATCTGCAAAGTGCATTTGCAGTTCTCTACTCTGAATCAACATCACCTGTCAAACAACCTCCACAAAGGATAATGTATCATGTAGCTAGAACTGGGTAATCCAAGATTTGGTAGAGTGTGGTAGGGTAAGCCTAACTAAAGGCCTCCTCAACTGCCTGCCTCTGCAGCTGAAACCTGAAACATTCAGCTAATTGATATTCCTGAGTTTTGTTTCCTTCTTATCTTAAAAGTGCACATTCGGTAGTGGTTGGGCAATCAATTATTGTTGAGATATCAGCTTCCAAGACTATACGAGTGCGAAATTGTTTGGGCTTGTTTAGATATCGACTGGATTTACCATAAATTGCAGAAGCACAACGTTCAAATGCCCCATGTATAATTCAGTTGTTCTTTCTCTAATTCAGTTTATCCATCATAATTCACGGCCGGCTTGACAGGCCAACACCACGTTGAGGCCCATTAGTTGTCAGCCCAATGCTCACGTGGACTCAAAAGGCCCAAATAGCCTATTGGAAAAAGTCCACTTTGACTCCCTTAATTGTTCACCGAATCTAATTCGTGACCCTTAACTACAAAACCGGGCAGGATGACTCTCCCAATTACTAAAACCAATACAAATTGAATCCCTCAACGGTTTTGGAGGGTGGTTTTGCTGACGTGGCACTTGGCCCATTATGCTCGCTGTCAGCCTAGTCATGAGGCCCACATGCAATTGATTAGGGAAAAATATAAAAAACGTAGGGCCAGCTTGTCAGGGCACTCTTCTCCCTCTATCTTTTAAATAAAAACAGCAGAGCAACCGCCGCCGGCAGCGATGGCGATGGCGGTGGTGCGGGCGGCAGCGGTGGATGGCAATGGCGATGGCTATTTGTGGCGCCGCTTCGGCTCGTCGCCCTCCTTCTCCTCCTTTGTGGCCGACTGCTGCGTCGCGCACGCCACCCTTGTGGAGCGCGGCGCCGCTCTCGCCGACCGCCTGGAGGTGGCGCGCTCGCTCCTCGGCGAGAACGGCTACACCATCACGCGCTGCAGATGTGGGCCCGTGTGGCAAATCCTCCGGCGCAACCTTGTCGCCGAGACGCTGCACCTATCGCGCGTCCGCCTGGCGGGGAGGTCGAGGGAGGATACAACAGATCAACAGCAACTCGTGTTTTCTAGTAACAACTACAGAGCTGAGCAGGACACAAGCCGCCGCAAGATTTCATCAGTGATATTCTTCTTTTGAAAATTAATCATCAGTGATAATCGAGCGGGGCAGGCGTATCCTTGAGATCCATCCGCTGGAAATGGACATCCTGCATGCACATCACAAGCAAAAATAATTCAGTCATCACAAACCTACACAAAGCACACATCAAGATTGGGAATTCACACGCACGAACGTACCGATGCGAAATGGTTGACGTCGCGGTGGTGCGCCTCGTCGGCACGAACAACAACGACGACGTCCTTGAGCGTGGCGCCGGCGGGGAGCCGCCAGTAGTCGATGGCGATCGGCGGCGCGGGGACGTTCTCGATCTTGCCGGCCTCGATGTCCTTGAGGTACTCGGTGTAGGAGTGGATGGCCTCCTCCTCGAGGTAGCCGACGACGCGGTGCGCGAGCTTGGGGGAGAGGAGGTAGCCGAGGAAGTAGGCGTTGAAGAAGACGCGCTGGACGGCGAGCACAAGCGTGCGCTCGTACCACCTCGGCTTGGCCACCTCCATGAAGGTCATGAGGTGCATCCGCTCGTTCTCGGCCTCCTCCAGCAGCGCGCGTATCCAGTCGCCGCTGTGCTCGAAGCTAGTGGCGCTGGCTCAGTCCCGGGCCTTCCTCTCCGACTGCCTCATCAACGCCACCACCGGTCACCCCTTTATCTTCGAGGGCGCCTTCTTCCTCTCCCTCGCCACCCGCATCAACTTCGGCACCCCCACCACCGACCCCGTCCGCTACCCCGACGACTGCGTCTGGGAGTCCGACATGGCGCGCAGCCCAACTTCCTCGTTGAGGTCGCGCCCGCTACCGCTCAGACCTGACCGAGGCTCGAGAGCGAAGCTCGGCATCGCCCAGATGCGGAGCTCGGCGGCCGTCGCCCCCCGCCTGCCGTCGCCCCCCTGCTGAATTGGGAGGGAGAGAGATAAGGGGGAGATTGGGGAGGATGAGGAAGGGATAGACTGACATGTGGGCCCACAAATTCTTCTTCTATGTGAATGACAAATGGGTCCCACGTGTATGTTGTTAGTTATAATGCCACCTAAGCGTCACATCAACAGCAGACCAAGTCAACATTGCCATGTAGATGCCACGTCAGCGAAACCACTCTTCAAAACCGCCGAGGGATTCAATTTGTTCCGGTTTTAGTAATTGGGGGAGTCATTCTACCCGGTTTTCTAGTTAAGGGTCACGAATTAGATTCGATGAACAATTAAGGGAGTCTAAGTGGACTTTTTCCTTACAACAATATCGATCCCATGGGCCACCGTGGTGCAGGCCTAGTTGAAGGCTGCAAAATCCCCCTTCTACCCCTCCGTTCTCGATATATACGCCGCCGCCTAGATGCCATTCTCCTCTTCTCTCTCCTTCCTGGTGCAACACATCGATCTCAAATTCTTCACAGGTTTCTCTCATTTCCCTTCCCTTTTATTATGAACTTTTCGATCTTTTCTCCCGCGCGCTCTCAATCGGTTCGAGAATGAGAGGATTCGTTGTCGGCTCGCCTTGTGTTTTTGCCCCCCTTATTTTTTTTTTCGTTTCCAATTCCATGATATTTCACATCCGGGGTGCAAGTTTGTAGATTTGAATACTTTTAGGGGAATGCCATATATACTAGATCGGAACTGTTCATGGTGTAGTTACCTTTCTGGCATACTCCGCGACATGGTGTATTCATGCCGCGCACGAATCGCATCGATGTTTTCTGTTTCTGAACTTGATTGTCTAACATGTCGTTATTACTTTAGATCGTATTTATTCCATGATAGACTCAATGCATGTGCTGTCTATTTTGTGATGGATATTCCCCCCCCCCCCCTGAAGAATCACTTCCTTGTAGTTCTCTACCGTCAGATTGAATTTTTACAGAAATTATGCATGATTGGTTTTTAAAATCGAAGTTTACAGCAATGCAAATTGACTTTGGTGCCCTCATGATTCACTTGGCAAAAGAGAAGTTAGGCGTACCTACCATGTCATTAAGGGTTAATGATCGATACTAGTTACTTATTGCTAAATGTTTTCTCGGGTAGCTTATCACTGTGGATGGTTGGCATTGCATTCGTAATAACTGAATCCTTCTGGTAAATGGCATGCCATTTTCAGATTATTTGAAGCAACAACAATTTGATTCTGCAATGTGGGCAGATCGGTGCATATTTGTACTTTGCTCTTTATTTGAAGGGAATGTTTATACTTTGCTCCAAGGCCTTTTCAACCAAAATATTGAGATAAACTTTTCTGCCCACAGGATAAAAATTCAATTTAGAGCGTTGAGATCAAAGTTTTTACTATGCCGACCATTATGTTGTTTTCATTCTTTCCTCAATGACAAGGACGCTGATGTAGCATAATTACTTTCTGCGGGATTAATCTAGGTGCAAAGGGGATTCCTGTTGGATAGATGCCATTATATGAGTTTGCTCATGTACGCATGATGTCATGTAACTCATCTTGTATTTTGAGATTTTTCAAGATAAATGACGCCTCTTGGCTCTTGCATGCACCAATGCTATATGACCAGGTATATGCGTAGGGCGGATTACATGGCCTTTTCTATCTGGCTGTCATTTTTCTGATGCACATACCTTCTTGAACTGGAGAGTACATGAAGGTAAATCACATTTTTGTGATTGTAAAGTATATGTGCGTTTAGTTGCGTCATATTATTATCTTGTGTTTTTTTTTTCCAGATCTCTGCTAACTTTCTGTTGAACAACTGTGCACGCACCTACACCAAGAAGAAAACACTCAAGAAGTGGTTTTTCATTGACAAGACCCTGGGTTAAATCTAGTTGAAGAAGGCCTATTCCACCTCATTTTGGTAGTGGATATGAGCAACGGTTTGCCACTCATGACCAATCCCATGATCAAAAGCCAGCCAGTGTTGGCACTGCCTTCAAATCTAATGCCATGTTTGGTTACATCCAAGAAGCATCCATGTTCTTCATTGTGTGTGACATACATCAGTAAGCGTGAACTTGTTGAAGTCGTTGATGGACTTGTCGGGGTAATGATGACATCATCGAACCGTGAAAAGCCAGACATTGAATCTGGTTACGACGGTTCGTCTGATGAAGATTCCACTGAGAATTCTCGTGCAGTAAGTTGCTTCTTTCGGTTTTCTGTTATTCTCTTTGTTTTCTACAAAGGATTTTAATATGTTTATCTTTTATATCAGGAAATTTGTCCTTCTGCCTTATGTTTCTTCGACCAAATCGTAGCTAGTGCGCAAGACAAGAAGGTTGTGTTGTTTCTAGACTATGATGGCACACTTTCTCCTATTGTGAATGATCCAGAGAAAGCATTCATGTCCTCTGAGGTAAGCCAGCTGGTGTAAGATAAAATATGTATTGAAACATTGCTTTATGTATGTGCCACTTACTAATATTCTCAATCTGAATACCTTCCTTCAGATGCGTGCTACTGTGAAAAGTGTTGCAAAGCACTTCCCTACAGCAATAGTTAGTGGGAGATCCCGCGACAAGGTCTGAATATATTTTTTACATGTATTGGTCTTCACGTTTTAGTGTGACAATTATGTCAGTATGAAAATCACATATCTGATGTTTGATGCTGGCCTCTCCATGTCCAGGTGTTTGATTTTGTCAAGCTGACTGAGATATACTATGCAGGGAGTCATGGTATGGACATACTAGCATCTTTTGCAGATTCAGACAGTACCATAGAAAAGGTGAGTAGTTGTAGGATCATTTTAGGTTTCAGGCATGAATACATATATTTGTTGCTCTTACATTTTTAACGATTGAATTCATTACATACACGTCCCTTCATGTTTCATCATTTGAAAATATTGTTGAGCTCTCTATTGCAGACCAAAGAAACCAAGCTTTTTCAACCTGCAAATGAGTTTCTGACTATGATAACTGAGGTACTCTTTGTTTCAGTCATCAGAAAGCAATAGATCTGGATGGATGATATTGAAAATATTACTCTATATGCTAATGTGCCTGTGTACAATAGGTTTCCAAATCCCTGATAGAGGTCACTAAAGCGATTAAGGGTGCAACAGTTGAGAACAACAAGTTTTGCGTATCTGTTCATTATCGTAATGTCGACAAGAAGGTTTAGTTGGAACATTCTTGCCTCCCTTGTGGCCTTGTCGCTTTGCAACAATTGCAAGTTTTCTCCTATAAGTTTTTTTTTTCTCGAATACAGTTTCTCATATAATTTTCACCTGTTTCCCTCCAGAACTGGAAGTTGGTCGCACAGGTTGTCAACAATGTTCTAAAAGATTTTCCTAGTCTTAAAGTATCCACTGGACGGAAGGTAGAAGGATTAAAAAGATAGCAATGTAATATACTGTTCCTAATAGGCGGTTCATCATTTGTATGCTAAACAGGTATGCTATTATGCAGGTTTTAGAGGTTCGTCCAATGATCAACTGGGACAAGGGAAAAGCCGTCGAGTTTTTGCTTCGATCGCTTGAGCTAGATGATTCTGAAACTGTTCTTCCTATCTATATTGGGGATGATAAAACGGATGAAGATGCATTCAAGGTCACCTTTCTTCAGAAATTGCATACCACATTTTAGATCCATCTTACTTCGAGCGTTAGTGAACTCAATTATTATTCCTTTTTTTTTTTATTATACGACCAGGTGCTTCGCGAGCGAAAGAATGGATGTGGGATTCTTGTTTCGCAGGTGCCCAAGAAGTCTGAAGCCTTTTTCATGCTGAGAGGCCCATCAGAAGTAGTGATCCTTCCTGTCATGCTTAACTTTTTTGCTGCCCTTCTGATTATGCCTAGTTAATTCAAAATTGCTTTGGTCATTTCACTTAACAATTGCCATGTAGGTGATGGAATTTCTCAGTTCCTTGGTGAGATGGAAGGAACAATCAACATTTGAAGATTGACAGCTTAGCCAATCAGTTTTAGTTGGGATAGCTAGCTGACGCTAGCGTTTAAGCATTCCCTGGGCGACAATTTTACAGTGCCCGGACGTGGAGCTGGATAGTAGCTAGATAGTTTAGCTCCCATAGTTGCAAAGAACCAGTCGATGCTATTCCGTTTCTTCTAATATTTATCATCAGAGGCAGAGTTCTAGTAGTTTTTTTTTTATGAAGTGAACAATCTTTCAGTTCTACCAGTGAAAATTCACAAGCATTACGGCACTGTGCTAATCCTGATATTTTCTCCATTAGTCTCCATCTTGGTTAGGTACCAGGATTTGCAATAATGTCAACTCGCATCCCCTTTCTCCCCTGAAAATGACAGGGAAAAAAAGAAGTTCACTGGACCCGCCGTAGACGGCGACGTGATTCTCTATATCTCTAAGACTAAATTGTGGGGTAGGATTCCGAAAATTCATGAATTGGTTACACCAGTTTACAACAAAAAACTTCTTGTCTTAGTAATCAATTGAAATTAGTTCGATGGCATCGACCCCATCCGGTCAGCCTCGTGGATGCAGATGATGGTCACCGGGGTGTCCATTTCTTCATGACGTCTTCATCCTATCCATACAAGCTGGCTGGCAGCCCAATGATCGAATGCATGCAATGCATAAGATCTTTTCCTGGCTTTGCTGAAAGCTCACGAAATTAGGCTACAATTCACAATATATCGTTTAAACTAGAAAAAAAAAATGTTCCGCAGGTTTGCTCACCCGGCCCAAAACGAGCCTGACTTTTCTGAAGTTAGTACTACTACCACTACTATTTACGAAAACCAAACGTTAAAGCTGACAGCCGTTGCCCGTTATTACGACTTGTTGGAGTGATATCACTGATATGGCAACAACCCTCAAAACCGAGTCAAGTTCCCGTATAAATATTTCCACCACCTGTACATAATTCGCAAGAATTTTGAGTCAAGCCGTTTAAAAGATCCGGAAGTTTCGTACAGAAACCAAACAAATTTTGTACGAAAACCGCGGCTTTATATTAATTAATAATATAATAATATCATAATCCGAGTCTAAACGAACGGAAAGCGCGGCATCACGTAACAACCCTTTTTCCTTTCACTTCCCTAGTCTCGCGTCTCTTCTACTGCTCTCCCTCCACTTCGACTCCACTCCTCGTCTCCACGGCTGCACCTTTCCCACTCCCGTTGAGGCCGAATTAAAAATACCAAAAGAAAAAGGGAGAAATTCCACCGCCCCCCTCGAGGCCCAGCTCACCGGCGGCCGACGTCTCCGGCCATTCCCGGCGACCCTCCCCGCCCCCCCGCCGGCTCATGCTTCTCGGCTCGGCTCCGGCGACCCCCCGAGCGTAGGCAGATCTGGGCGTAGGTGGTGGGGGAGGAGGAGGACCTTGCTCCGTCGGGGATGGGGCGGGGCTGCGGCCGCTGGTGGTGGGTCGCCGTGGCTTTGGTGGTGGTGGCGGCGGCGGCGGCGGCGGAGGGGGCGCGTGAGGAGGCAGCGGTGGCGGTGGCGGTGGCTCCGCGGCGGCACGCGTACCGGCGATGATGTACATGGGCACTCCCCGGGATTACGAGTTCTACGTGGCCACGCGCGTCATGATGCGATCCCTCGGGAGGCTCGGGTCGGACGCCGACCGCGTCGTGATCGCCTCCCTCGATGTCCCGCCGCGCTGGGTCCAGGCGCTGTAAGCCCCCCCCCCCCCCTCTCTCTCTCTCTCTCTCTCTGAGTCTATGTCGCTCTCGCGCCACTAGCCTCACGGTTGTCTTTTAGCTTGGATCGCTGGGTAATGATCAAAATCTGTCTCCCTCGTAGATGTTCGATTTGTACTTTGGAGTATATTTGAATCGAGGTCTGATTCAGCTCTCTCTCCTCTTTTTTTTTTCACGCGCTGGAGGGTTGACTTCGTGCCTGTTTTGTTGTTTGATGCGAATTTGTGGGTTTCTTAGTGCAAAGCTCTTCCCGTAGCTCAATGCAATTTTTTGGTCACCTTGCCTTTGCTGATTCTTATGAAGTTGTTTGGTTATTTGAGCACCGCGCTTGCCGTTTTATGCCAATTGATGACTATGTGATCGGTGCCACTATAAATGGCTAGAATCTCTTCTTCCCTGTCCGTATCAAATTCTTCGATTGTCGTTTGTTGCCTTCTCTTAAGCTTGTTGTTACTCTCTCTTTTTTTGGCCTTGTTTTGCTGTATTTTTCTCTGAATTTTCTGGCTTGCGGATTGGCAGTGTCCTTGCCATGTCCTGGTTACTATTACTGTTTCTCCCCGTACTATTCGACGAAGATGCTGCTTGTTCGGAATGATATCCTGTAACTGTTACGTACCTTGTTACGGTCATTGAGTTTGCATATGCATTCATGTTGACTTTGTAGCCTAGAGTCATTGAAGTTTGTTGAGAGAGATTGTGCGTCCTGGTTGTGAGATATTCGATAAATTGTGATATTTGTGCTGCTAATTTCGACCTCAAGTTGCTGCGCAAATTGCAGTTAACTGATTAACTCATTGCCTAAGCTTTATTATAGAACAGTTTTTTCTGTTGGACTACTGATTTGGCCTTTGTTACAGATTTGTTCAAAAGTGGTGAGAATTGACCTGTTAATTTCCACTGCCGATTATTCTACATGGAAGTTTGCTGATTGTGACTGCATTGTTCTATTACAATACTCCAGTTGGACTAGCATGTGAACCCCTCATATTGTCCAACTGACCACATGTGGATGTCGACCTGAGTTGATTTTGTCCCTGTTATGGCTTGTTGGCCGTTGCCTAAGAACTTACAGTTTCAGAGAATGCTAGCTTTGTTCTGAAGAATTTGTCAGCTTTCTTTGTATCCTAGTGGTCCATCCTTTCCCCTCTGTTCTGAGAATATCATACCTGTGCTGGCCAGATTGAGCATTTTTAATTGTGGAGTTTAGTAATAGATATTCAATTTAATATGGTATATGATTAGTTGAAGTAGGTAGCCATGTTGGGCCAGGAAGCTTAGCCATTATTGAGTCATGTAACTAGCAAGAGTATATAATATTATGTTATTGGCACTAATGAAGTTACAACTAATCATGGAGGAACAAATATGGACATAACAAAACTAGAGGAACATTAGTGATGTTGTAACTTATAAGTACCATGCAAGAATAACAGTGGCATTATTAGTGGAACCAATGAGGTGATTAATGGGGTAATAATACATGCATCTTTCAGAAAAAAAATGATATTTGAATTCAGTTTGTCATTTGATAACTTAAGTTACTGGTAGAATTGGCATGCAATTATTGTTACTAGATATATTTTCCGTCAGCTGAAATACATGCTCTTTTTGTCTTGTGTGGTCTTGATTCTTCTAGTATTTATGCATCTTCAACTGTTTCTTTAGGAAAGATGATGGTGTGAAGGTGGTCTCTGTGGAGAATTTGAAGAATCCTTATGAAAAACAAGGGAACTTCAACATGCGATTCAAGTTGACTCTTAACAAGCTGTATGCATGGAGCCTAGTTTCCTATGACCGAGTTGTTATGCTAGACTCTGACAACATTTTCCTCCAGAACACTGATGAATTATTTCAGTGTGGCCAGTTCTGTGCTGTCTTCATTAACCCTTGTATCTTCCATACAGGGCTCTTTGTGCTTCAGGTAGGATTACTTGCTATATGGGTTTCTCCTTTCTTCTGCAAAATTTCTTTTAACTTTCTCCATGTAAGGAAAGATATTAGCTCTTAATCTCTTCATTACTAGGAATGACTATGAATCGACCTCCTTTAGTCCATTGCATCTACAAAGGCATTCTGTTTTGTTTAGCACTTCATATTAGGGGTGATCTAACTGCCATTTGATAAGTAATCCTTCATTATTGTTTAATTAAAAGATCTATGCAGTTTTGTTGCCAACTGGTTTACTGCAAATCTTTTACCTGAAATTAATAAGCTTGGTTTTAGAAGCTGCAAGCTTATATTGAATCTGTTTTCTTCCTGGATATTAGTCTTTAGCTTTCTGTTGGCCTTTCTCAAAGCACAGATGTATTTTTCAGGGGCGCGAAACACAGAATCTACAATACTTCTTAAATCTAAACCTATCTAATGCACGGGCCAATTGCTGTTTTTTTTGGCACAATATTCTGCAGTAGGCAAATTCAAAATGGTTATGACAACTCCTACTTTGTGCACTCATTTTTTTTGTCATACTAACCAGTTGTTACTTATTAATCAACCTGATTTTCTCTAGTCCAGAACCATCTAAAGTTCATCAAATGAACCTGAATATTGAAATTTATGTCGTCATGAATTTTTTTTTCTTTCTATTTTGTTTTCAGCCCTCAATGGACGTTTTTAAGAACATGCTACATGAGCTAGCTGTTGGGCGTGATAACCCAGATGGTGCAGATCAGGGCTTCCTTGCTAGCTATTTCCCAGACTTGCTTGACCGACCAATGTTCCATCCACCAGTTAATGGTACCAAACTTGAAGGAACATATCGTCTTCCGTTAGGCTATCAAATGGACGCATCTTACTATTGTGAGTATCAATAGACATATACGAATTCGTATGCTCATGCATTTTCCCCCTAGACTAATGGGATATTTGTTCAGATTTGAAACTCCGCTGGAGCATTCCATGTGGGCCGAACAGCGTGATTACATTTCCTAGCGCTCCATGGTTTAAGCCATGGTATTGGTGGTCTTGGCCAGTTTTACCTCTGGGACTTTCTTGGCATGAACAACGCCGTGAAAACTTGGGGTGAGTAATTTTCTCAGATATTTTGTCTTGCATTTTATTTGCATGATTGAATTCTGATGTTAATAGAATCTTCCACTAATGCATTGCTTCATGTACAAAATTTGTTAGCATGGATCATGGATGGTAATATCATCCATAACAGTGTATCATGTGCACTCGTGTGATTGGTTAAATGCCCTTTGTGAATTGCTTTCTATCTTCTTTAGAATAAAGATGTGTAACAGGTCATTATCGAGCCTTTTACATTTTAGAATAAAGTTGCACAAGGCAAGGAATTATTGTGCTTCTTTTTTTTTGTCAGGATAAAGTTCCATAAAGTAGTGGATTGCAAAGTCTTCAACCTTCTGTCATGTTTTTTAGGATAATGAAGCATATAACAGTATTCATTTTGTTGCATCTTAATTTCTGAAGCACAGAGTGTTGCCTTTCCTGACTATATGTAAACTTGATGCAAAGCAGGTATTCATCGGAGCTACCGGTTGTATTAATCCAGGCCCTATTTTACATTGGAGTCATTGCAGTCACCCGACTTGCGCGGCCTAGTTTGTCAAAGATGTGCTACAACAGAAGAATGGAGAAAAGTACTATAGTTTTGCTCACAACACTCAGAGTAGTGGCAGCATGGTCCATACTTGCAGCTTACACCATACCCTTCTTCCTGATCCCACGGACGGTGCATCCGCTACTAGGTTGGCCACTATATTTGCTTGGTGCTTTCTCCTTTTCTTCAATCGTGATCAATGTATTCCTCCTCCACCCCCTTGCGGTCCTCACAACATGGTTGGGGATCATCGGTGCTCTCTTCGTGATGGCATTCCCATGGTATTTAAACGGTGTTGTAAGGGCCTTGGCAGTGTTCGCCTATGCATTTTGCTGCGCTCCCTTGATCTGGGGATCTTTGGTTAAGACAATGAGCTCCTTGCAGATCCTGATTGAAAGGGATGCATTCAGACTTGGTGAACCTAACCAGACAGCCGAGTTCACGAAGCTTTATTGAGGTGTGTATTGCAGATACATGTCATTGCATTTCATCAGCTAATTCCGATTCGCATTGGCTATTCTGATGGCCAATTCAGTTGTACAAGTAAAACCGCAGATGAAACTACAGTTGCACCTTTAACACCACCTGAAACCTTTGGAGCCCGTGATATTCTTCGTAATTGCGTAGGTGACATACAGGGCAAAGGGAGAGAACATAGTTTGATGTTTGTGTGTGGGGGGTGTTGGTTGTGGAAGTGGAACTGCAGAGGAACATTATAGAGTAATTTTTTTGTTACTTCATTTACTGCTCCTCTAAAAGAGCCAACACATTCTTGGCTTTCTTGTAATTGATATCATCAGTTCCACACGTCCACTATCATGAGATTCAGGTGTTCTTTGCAAAATGCTGATTGGAAAAAGAAAACTATGTACTACCACTGGATATGCATTTGCCTTTCCCTATAGGGGGGTGAGTGGTGACGTTGCAAACACCAAAGTAATAAGCTTTGCAAATATATGGCGGCACAAAATCCAATCGTCCACTTCAGAATGTTGTCTTGTCTCGTCTTGACAACGACGTTGGATACGACAAAGGTGTTTCTCATGGGCACGGCCCAGTGATAGAGGTAACTGAGGTTATAGGTTCAACCCGGAAGAAACCCTCCTCTCAATGTCGATGTTTCAGTGTATTACAAGTGTTTTTAAATCTTTCCCGCTCTCTTCTTTTAAAAAAAAACACGTCACAAACGCAAACGCTCACAACGTTTGTGCACTCATCTCTATAAACGCAAACACGCACGCCCCACTTTTATGAACACCTATGAAAAACTAGGTCGGCATATCTTGCGCGTGCACACTTATCCCTATCAACGTACATACACTATACCCTTATGAGCACCTCCAGAAGATTGGGCCGTATATCTTGCGCGCATAGATTCACCCCTATAAACGCACACAGGTACATCCTACCTCCATAAGCACCTTTGAAAGACTAAGCCGACATATCTTGAGATTAACGAAATCACCACAGATGCCTCGCTGTCAACGGGTACATCGCTTACCATTGAAAGAATAATTAGCCATAAATATGAACATCCGAGTCAGCTTTAAAACTTGAACTTAGGTGGCTGGCTCCACCACAAGGGACTAGGGGTGTCAATTTCTCCATCGGGGCGACCCTAAGGGGCCGGGGGCAAGGTGGAATTCTCACCCGTGGGTAGGGGGCGCAAACAGAGTTCACTCCCTCGCCGTCCGCCGCCTCGTTGTGCCCCCTCGTTGGCCACCTCGTCGTCGCACCCCCTCCTCGTCCACCTCATCACTGAGCCCCCTCGCCGTTGCCACGTCATCGCCTGCAACCTCGCCGTCCACCTCATCGACGACTTTCTTGGTTAGGTTGCGGGGCCTCGGGGCGGGTACTGATTTTCGCCCTGTTCATCCCTCGGGGGCCGGGGACAGGGATACCCGCAAGAGCGAGGGGACGGGAGCGTTCCAGCCTAACCCGGCCCCGTCCCGGCCCATTGCCAGTTTGCAACCCTTACAAGTAATCTAACAAGTTGAGCTACGCTCTATTCTTTTGCTATGGGTTGGTTACAAGGGCAAAACCATCATTTTGCTAAGCCTAGCACTCGACTAATATAATTTTGTAAAATCTTCATTTTTTATATTTTTTCAAATGAATTTTGGCCTCTTTGATTTGTAGAGAAAACAACAAATATTGGAGGATTTTAATCCTAAAAAGAAAATACTAAGAAGTCTTTTGAAACAAATGATTTAATTATATTCTTCCTCTAAAATTCTTATGTAAGGGATAATTCTATAGAGATTTCAGAGGAAAATTAGCAAGAGCTTTAACCCCTTGAAAATATCCTTGAAGTCTCTCACTCTCATTTGATTCTTGTGTTGGTCTAATCAAATGACTATTTCTACATTCTTTTGTGTTTTACAATTTGTTTTGCACTTGTATTTCTTATATTTTTGTTAACTAGAAAAATACCCGTGTGTTGCAAGTTGCAACAGCCAACAGGTGAAGGCTATTTTAATTTTTATTATTGTTATATGGTTTAGTTAAGGTGAAATTCATTGGGGGAGTTCGTTTGGATATATATATATATATATATATATATATATATATATATATATATAGAGAGAGAGAGAGAGAGAGAGAAAATCCTGTAGTAGGAGTCTGGTCGTCTCAAATTAGCATGCGAGTTTTTTTTTAGAGAAATTTTTTATATGACTCCTTCTGTATTTTCAAAAGTGAACGAACTTAAAACCCGACCCATACACGGATGACGTACCAAAGGACCGTAAAAAATATCTTTAATTTTTATAATAGTAGATATATTTATATGTTTTTATTCATCTTTTTTTTTCTGTCAAAGGGACGACGGAAACATGCGCAGGGCTCCACCCCTGATTAGTTAGGTAATACTAACTTGCTGTATTTTTTCTTCTTGTTATACATGTTTGGAATTTATAGTCCATCGAGTAAAGGAATGGTACTGTCCTAGTTTAGAAGTGGAACGGTACATATAAGATTTTCTTACTAAAAGTTTTATGAACAATTAAGGACATGTTCTTTTCTTTAACTCTAAACTTCAACTTACTCATTTATGTTAGCACGATTTTCAAACTATTAAATAATATTTTTTTGCAAAAAAATATATGTAGAAGTTGTTTAAAACAAATTAAATAAATCTATTTTTTCAAGTTTATAATAATTAATATTTAATAAATCGTATGCTAATGAACTTTCTTGTTTCACGTGCGTAAAAATTTTCCCTCTAATATGAGACGAGCGCAGCCTTAGTTCTATTTAATTATCTAATATAACGTGTTCTCATCCATACCTTCTTTCAACAATGGGAACCACGTCATCCCCTTTTCCTAAATCTTAAGAGCCATTTTGAATAGTAGAAATAGAAAAAACATTGAATTCATATACGATTGTAAAATATGGAGAAAATATAGAAATAACCGTTTGATTGGACCGTATGAAAAACGTAGAAATAAGATGAAGAGGTAGACTCAAAGAAAATTTTTCAAGAGGTTATAACTCTTGCTAAGTTTTCTCTATCTCTATTGGATCTTCATTCCATAGAAATTTCAAATGATACGATAAGATTTAATTCTTTATAATCTTTATTATAAAGATATTCATAGAAAATTATTTTAATAGGATTGAAATCCTCCGAACTTTCTATTGTTTTCTATAAACTAGTTGGATGGCCTGCGCAATTGCGCGGCTAGCACTCATACAAAATCATTTATTTTCTAATATGATTTTACTTAAAATTTATCAAATAGCTATCTCGTTGTCTTAAGGCTTTGAAAAGCCAAACCTTATTATCCCCATGTTTCTACTTTTATAGTTTTTAAAAGTCACACCAGTTGCTACCCCTTACTTCTATCACACCCCTTCTTCATTTGCTTGCTTGATCTACCGTTGTTTCGATTCATTCTCCTTGGACCTTTAAAAATTATACCTTATAGTTTTTAGAGATTAATCTCTCGTTGGGTTTTGTTTTTATAATTTTTAGAAGTCCCATCAAACATTGTCACTATACTCATCCACAACCCGTCCATTGCCTTCTCTCTTTATTGCCATTGGGATTTCAAAAATTGAATATAATTATCATTTGGGTTCATTTTTTACTTTTTAGAAGTCCCGCCAAACCATTAACGGCTTTTCACTGTATTTCTCTATGGCTCACCCATTGCCTCCCCTGTTTATTGTCATTGAGATTTTAAAATCGAGCAAGATTATCAATTTTTTTTTTACTTTTTAGAAGTCTCGAGCCTTTAAAAATTGGACCTTGTAGTTTTTATAGTTTGTTGTATCGTTGGGTTTCATTAGTAGAAACTTTAGGAGTCCCGTCAAACGCTGCACTATACTCCTCTATGATTCATCCACTCTCTCCTCTCTTTATTGTTATTGGGTTTATTTTTTACTTTCTAGAAGTCTCGCCAAATAATCAGCGGCTTTATCACCGTACTCCACTATGGCTCGTCCGTTGTCTCCTCTCTTTAATATCATTGAGATTTTAAAATCAAATTTGATTATCATTATGGTTTATTTAATTAATCTCATGTTGTACCCTATCTGGACTATTCTTTTAATATAATTCATTTTTTAATCGGAATTTTAATTATTTATAAATTCTATTCCTATTAGAACTCTTCATTATTATTATTAGGATTTTAAAAATCGAACCTAATCATTCTTTGGTTTTCTATTTTTATAGTATGTAGAAGTTTCGCTAGTGCCCATCTCTTAATAATACAATACAATTCATTTTATCTTTTATTCTACTTAGTAGTTTTCTCTAAATATTTTTTGTTTCTGATTTTAGTTATTTTTAACATATGCCCACCATAAATTGGTGCATATTTTTTTCTTTTTCTTTACTTATTAATTTGGTAATTTCTAGATCTCCTTGTATAATATTTGGATATATTATTAATTGTATGAGCCATTGCTGCTGTAGCGGGCAGACTACCGAGCAAGAGGATAGATTTTCTTTTTTACTGAGCTTCTTTGATAAAAAGAAAGGAACGTGCAGCATTGCCCGGTTGGGGCTTGAGAGTCCGAATATAACTTGGACTTTTATTTTTTGCTGCACGGTTTTCTTTTTTACAAAGTTTGAGTAGGACTCTTATTTATATTTGTCCAATCAATCTCAATGGTTAAATTATAGATCTATCATAATTCAATGGTATAGATTTTTCTCTTTTTTTTTCGATTAATGTGGTAATATGTAGCCTTCATAGCAAATATGGTGCCTCCTTTCAAAGATGCTTCGGGTTATCATTGAGATTTTAAAATCGAGCATGATTATCATTGTTTTTTTTACTTTTTAGAAGTTCCGAACCTTTAAAAATAAGACCTTGTAGTTTATAGAGTTTATTGCCTTGTTGGGTTTTATTTTTTATAATTTTTAGAAGTCCCATAAAACGATGCCTCTATCCTCCTCTACGGCACATCCGCCGCCTACTCTTTATTATCATTGTGATTCTAGAAATCGAACATAACTATCGTTAGAATTTTTTTTTTATTTTCTAGAAGTCCCATCAACCGTTGGCGGCTCTGCAACTATACTCCTATACACCCCGCTCATTGCTTCTCCTTAGTCATTGAGATTTTAAAAATCAAATATGATATTCAACGGGTTTTTTTTACTTTCTAGAAGTCCTGGCAACCGCCTTGCTCGTTTGCTTCACGGCCCGCCGATCGTCCCTCCTTTTAATCATCATTAGGATCTATTTGGTGTTTTATTAACAGTTTTTTATATGTCGTATCAACCGCCACCACTCTACTCCTTTATAGGCATGTTACTTAATTTATCTCGTCATGTGTTTTAGATGGTATTTTCTTTCAATAGTTTTTATTTTTATCACAAATTTTAGTTATTTATAAATTATATTCCTAATTGAAATCTTATT